AATAATAATTATATGTAATTTTGTTTTAAAAAAAATATAGTTGTTTTATAATATTTGGCTTGAGTATCATACTATTCACTCACTCCCACATAATTTGTCCCTGTTTTCTATTTTTATTTCTCCCATATAACTTGTCATTTTATTTTTTGAAAATATAATTATACACTTTAATTATATTTTAAACTTTATATTTTATAATTTTTTAAATCTAAATTAAAGTATTTAGTTATCTTAATTTTAATCTATAATTATTTTTACTAATATACTTTTTAATTACTTACTAATCATACTTTATCTTCTACAGTAACACGCCAAAATTACCTGGGACGGAGGGAGTATATTTCAAACTTTTTTTTTTTTTTTTTGTTTATTAATTCAATTCTTCTGTAAAATACAAAAGAAGCACAAAATTTGATGGTAGAAGAAATCTATTATAATACAAAATTTTCATTTAAAATGTCATTATCAAATACTCCCTCCGTCCCACATATCGTGTCTGCTACTAGACACGGTATTTTAGGAGGAGTATAATTAGTAGATAATTAAGAATGTATTAGTGAAAATAATTATCATATAATATAAATAATTATAAATTAAGATTAAAATTTTTAAAAAAATTAAACAATTTAAAATAAGATTAAAGTGTGTTATCATTTTTCAAAAAAGGAAAGTGACATGATATGTGGGACGAATAGAAACAGCAACGTGGACATGATATGTGGGACGAAGAGAGTATTTAAAATTATATCACCCAAAAACCATGTTAAAAGCAAATCAAGCAAACAAAATGGGTCGGATGTAGTATTATTTAAATTTAATTTCAATACAATATATATATATATTTTTTTACTTAAACTTATAAAAATTTTGGATTTTAATTTTAATGTTTTTTACTATTTACAATATATAATAGTAATTCCATATAAAAATACAATAATTTTTTTTTTTACAAAACATCATTTTTAGATTATTATTTATGAAAAAATCAGAATCAAACTTTAAAAAAAAAATAACAGGAGTAAAAGTTATTGACTTTCTTTTTTTTTTGGTCATTTCAAAATTTTTCTTTTTTCTTGTCACATCTCTTCAAATGGAATACTGTATTATTTCTTTCAATCATTATACTTCTTTCTAAAAATACAAACGAATAGGGTTAAATTTTTCGGACAGAGGAAATATACTCGATACTTATTTCCAATGTATATATATATATATATATACATACACCGAGGCGGAATCAGACTGGGATGAGAGGGGGTTAATTTTTCAAATTTTCAAACGATCATCATCTATTTGTTATCCAATAATTTTATCAACGGAGTTATCATATTTTGAAAATCTTGCAAAATATCAATCTACAATGACAACTGCATATTAGCAGATGAATTTTGTATTATATGAAATTGATAAATAATAAAAATATTTATTAAAAAATAGCTCTTGAAAATATCAAAAATTATTTATTACTTTTTTGTTCATATCTATTTTTATAGCATCAAACAATTATTATGATATAAATTTTTTTATTATTCAAAAAATTTAAATTTTCACATAAATACTTTATCAATTTTTAACAATTTTTTAATTTGTTTATTATTTTTATATTATATATTATAAAATAAAAATTAAAAATTAAAAATTAAAAGGGGTGGGGTGGGGTGGGTGAGAGGGAGCTGGACCCCCCTTGCCCCACTTACATCCGCCCTGTATATGTATATATATATATATATTTCTAAAATATATTCAACTATTAAAATTATAAAATCAAAAATTGAATTAATAACATGGATATATTTACATAATATATATTATATATAATTCAAGTTTACACTTGCTATTTTGAATTAATATTTTCTTTCTTAAAATCTAAAATTGAATAAGTCGATCAATAATGAAGTAAGAGTGCTCCAAAAATTTAAACGAGCAACATTGCAATGAATAATTTACCTACATTGATGAATAACGTGGTTTTGATTTTCATAAATAAGTCAAATTTAAAGCAGCGTGTCCAAAGTGACGTTCAGCGTACAACAAACATGGCGCCTCGTACAACCGGGCTATGCAGCAGCATCATAACCGCCACTCTGATGATGCAGGCAGGTTTTGCATCGCCTCCACTAACTCTTGTCATTCGCCACTATATATATAAAGGCGCTGCTCACATTGTACGCACGCCTTCTCCGCAACACCACCACCCACGCCTTCGTCTTCTCCTCCTCCTTCTCCAAATCTGCTGCTGCAATTTTTTGTGGTTTAAGCTGCTGCTGCTGCTGCTGTAATTCTGCAGGTTTGATTTCCTAATTTTTGTTCGGATTTTTTTTTTGTTACTAATTTAGATTTCTATGGTTTTATGTGTTTTGAGAAATGGTGATGAATATATGCGTTTTTGAGTTGCAGATTTGCTGCTTGCTTTGGTGGATATGGAATCTCGAGTTTTGGATGATGTGAGGTTTGAGAAGAGAGAGGCTATGGCGAGGTTTAATCGGTTTGGGGTAATCGTCAAGGCGTGGCAAGTTTTTCAGGTTTTGGTAGGGTTTGGAATGATTTCCTGGTCCTCCGCTCGTGTTCCGGAGGTTGTGAAAAGAACTGGTGGATATTTCGTTGAGTTATCCGCTTGTCTCTTGAACCACCACGTTGTGTTTCTCCTTGGAAATGCTATCATCGTCACGTTGTTTCTGCTTTGCCGCCAAAACTACGATTTGAATATCTCCGTCGGCGGTGATTTGTACGACGATTATGATAAATTCAGCGAGGGGATCCATCAGCGCGAGCCTGCTCTGGATTCGCCGATCGACAAGGAAGCGGAGAGATTCCGTGAGAAGAAACAGACTACAGCACGGGCGACGGAGAATAAGGCGTTGACGCAATGCGATGACGTAACGACGGCGATAGAGAAGGCGACGAAGTTACTCAACAGGTTTCAGAGAATACAGTCGGAGAAACTCAAACCTGAGATTGCGACAAAGCGACGGCCGGAGCTTCGGAGAAAAGCGAACACGTGGTCCGCGGACGACGCAGCAGAGATGGAGAAACTGAGCAGCGAAGAGTTCCGGCGAAGAGTCGACGCTTTCATCGACAAACACTGGATTAAGCCAACAACGCGAAATCATGTCACAGGTGACAAATTTCAATTACTGAAAATGAAATAGGTAAACATAGAAACTCCAGTTCTAAATATCTCCTTCATAACCACGGATTTCTTCATTACATTTAACATCTCATGCTTTGATTTTTCTAATTCTCTGATTAACTCTCCTCAGTTTGAATTTCATATTCATTGAATTCCTCTCTCTCTCTCTCTCTCTCTCTCTCTATATATATATATATATATGTATAAACCTTGTGATTTTGTTTATTCCATTAACCTTAATTGTTCGCAATGGGATGATAGACTTGATTAATGCATGGGTAAGGCCTTCAACTCCAAGTAAACATAATAGATAATGGTAAAAACATATGTGTATTATAGTAGAAGGTAAGTGCCATTATTTATTAGTAGACAATAAGGCCTCCTTTGTGGTTTTTTGACTGGATGGATAAGTAGAAAGCAGATAGAAAATGATGGGCATTGTTAAATACTGTAGTGAACATAGATTAATATTTGTACCAATAGAATTTTAATGTAACCACCTCCATGTGGTTGCAGGTGGGAGAAATGCTTTCACTACAAGTAATGTACTAGCATATGTTTTAAGAACACAACCGAAGATGAAATTTTGTCATTTATTATATGTGTATATATATAAAATAGTTATTTAAGTAGAAGTAAATGTTGCTGTTAATTCATTTTTGGTGAGATACCAATTATCATAGTTGCATTTCAAATTTTTTTTGTAGATCTCATCTGCCCTCATATAAGACTTTTAAGTGTAATAGTTGGTTAAATAGTATTTAGGTATTGAAAATACTAACATACAAATACCACATATGTTAGATTTGTCTTAATTAGCAAGTAAAGTTAGACATACAATAGAATTTAATTTAATGAAAGTGACCATTTAAATTTATAGTGTAAATTATATGAACAAATTATTATTTTTTTGGTAGTAAAATTAGTTATAGTGTTGCACTTCATAAATAATGATCACATTTTGTTAATTTATATATATTATATTTGTATTATATACAGATTTCAAATCAAATTCCCAATGCATTATCATCACCTCCAGCTACACTGAGATCTTTAATGCATAATAATATATTCTCACGAGCATGTTTGCTTAGAATTTAATTCCATATTTTATGGAGCGACCATTATTTTACCCAATCTCTAATTGGGTGTGTTTTGTAATCCAATTTTCTTCTTTCACAAACATACCAAACCCAAAGAAACAGAGGAGATGAGATTTGTAATCCAATCCAATCCAATCACTATTTTAGTCCAAAACAAGATAATAAAAACACACACTTAATAATTACATTGGACAAATAAATAAAACACCCAACCCATCATCGCATTAACAGAATAGACTGAGAGAAAGAAGTGTCGCAACACGTAATTTCAGGTGTCTAGATTCGGTCTTCTGGGTATTCATTCACTCAGAAATGTTAAACTTACCAATACGCTATTAGCCAATAAAACCTTCAATGCAAAGCATTCATTCCCCCTCACCCCCCAACCAAACAATACATAAATATATATAATTTTACACTTGGGTTTTTGTTTAAAAAAGACAAAAAAAGGGAATCCAGCCAGATTTCGACATGACATTAATGTCAAAAATGGTAGCAGCTTTAAAACGAGGTAGATAAGATAGCCAATAGTATCCATAACAACAATAACTTCCAAAATGGAACCAGTAAATGTCAATCATCAGTATTCCCCAACTAAAAATACAACACAACACCCTCTAACTCTACTCTGCTCACTAGATTCCATCAAAAAGTTTCAATAATAAAAAAAAATCAAAATAAAATAAAATAATTTTTCTTTTATAGGGTACGTAGGTGGGTAGGTAGGTGCCGTGTGTGCATGCAGTTACTAAATTCACAATTTCAAATTTTCAAAAACCAACAATTAGGGGTTGTTCATTATTGGGAACTAAAAACAACAATTAAGCATGAGAGATTTACTTGAACATAGAGCATGGTATGGTGTTTTCTATACAAATGTACATACAAAGCTATGTATATATATATATATATATCATTCATATCTATATATTGCACATTTATATCCAAGGGGGGAAAGAATACCAGTGCCTTGAAATCGATTGCCCGATGACACATACATATATGCATCTGCGGCGTTTATGTACAGTAACCAATCCTCCCTCCCTGTGTTTGTATCATCTGTGACGACAAGATCACCATTTTTTTTTTAAAAAAAAAGAGGGATTAGGAAAACAGTGCTGATGAAACTGAAACGAAACCGAACAGCAATACCTAGAATTCCATCAGACTAGGAAATCTAAGCCCAATTCCTTCTTGCCCGGAGCTTCATGAGCTTGTCCCTCCATAATGCTGCAATATAAAGTTAGAAACTACAGCTTATGAGTAATTTTGAAAAATTCGGCAAAAATACATGTGTGTATATAGATCAACCTTGAACTTAAACAAGCAGAGCAGCCACACATTTTAAGATACTGTATGCACAAATAGGGGTGCTCATTTGTATTTTTGGATTGTGTTCGTGTCGAGTTGAGCTATGAGAATAACAAAAAAATTATCAATCTGAATCCGAAAATAGACTCAAAACCCTAAAACTCACACAAATTCTTTCGAATCGGGTTCAGATTGACCTAATTTAGTTTCAGATCACCCGAAACCAAACAAATCCGACATGGAAACTTTAAATAATTAAATTTACTTTAAAAAATTCATTTTAATTTTAATTTTAATTTTTATATTTTATTATATTTATAATAATATAAATATTATAAATAAAACTACTAATAAAAATAATTTCAAGTCAATCCGAAATACGAAATTAAAAAACAGCGTAATTTTTATATTTCGAGTTATCAGGTCAACCGAAACCCGACCCGATCACGACACGAGTTTTTTTTGTTTTGGATTCGAATCGACCCAATTTTTTGAAAACCCAAAATATCCAAACTCGAACCTGAAAATTTTCAAGACAAACAGGTTCGATTTTTTTGGTCGAGTTTAATTTTGATACCACTATGCACAAATAGATGATTGATGACAAACCTGCATCTCTGTAGCGTTCCTCGATAGCAGCAATGAGCATGTTACGGAGTAAATCAAACTCCTTTGTTTCAATGCACGGCTCACCGGTTGGTCTGAGTAAATAATAATTTCAAAATACGATAATACAAATTAATAAGAAAATGCCAAAATAATAACAGGCCATTAAGAAAACTGATTTATCACCTGTCCAGTTCAGTGAAAATTAGGTTTGAAGAGGAGCTGATCACTGGAATCTTTTGAGCCTCAACAACCCTCATGCCATCAGCATATGCAAGGAACTTATTGACTTGAATTGGCACCTGTGGGCGGCATGGAAGGATTTTGAAGACAAATATAACGACATCAGTAATCGGGCAATTCATAGTTCAATGCACAATATGTGTAGATATGTAAGAATACCATCACAATACGTCGGCTATATTTACCACAATGGCCATGACTCTAATGCTCAAATGACATAAACCCGAGTGAATGTTTTAAGAGACATATGAAAGCAAGAAAACCTTCAAAATAAGCACATAACTTATCCGTAGAGATTTTCAAGTCGGTCACAATTTATAAATTATAAGTGAAGACTGTAGTATAAACAGAGCCTAGCCAATACAACTCACTGGTAACTCACCAACATTACATCGTCTAATAAAACTGCACTATTCCATTTTTCACAATGAAGCATACTAGTTACAATATTGCGATATAAGCACTCACAGTGAAGGTACGACAACAAATATAAAAAGTGGGCGGCGGTTACAATGCTGAATTTAAAATTAAGCACTATGGTGAAAAATACATCGGGTGCGGTCTGACAAAACACAGTATTATTACAGACAGCAGATTGTATATAATACAAATAAAGCACATGAATCAACAGCACATGCTATAATCGCATACAACACACACAACAATTTATTTTAGCATATGACATACTCTTATATAGAACACATGTAATTACGAACAAACAACACATTTCTTTATTACACATAGCATGTGCTGTGTGTAATAAGAATATGTGATAATTGTATATATTATGGGTGCTGGTTTGAAACAGAGCATAGTGAGCATAGAATTATTACCTTGCATCTCACTGCAATGTTAATAGCATCTGACGGTCGTAAATCAATTCTGACAAACTCTGGTTCATTGCCCACCTTCAACCATCACAAAGAAATTTCAGTTCTAAAACAAGGGCTATAATATACTGTGAACACTTTAAATATCCAATATTTATTCATCAACAATTTATAGGAGGTTACCTTGGTCAGAAGTAACTCAGCAAAGTACGCCTCATGTACCCGCCTAGTAACGCGTACAACCTTAACCTGTAGAAAATGCAAACCCACAAAAATCATAAAACTAAAGAGTAAATCAGTTTGGTAATGAAAACAACGAACTCCCAAAACTCACAGCATAGCCCATTTTGTCAATCATATCCTTCACCACTTGATAAATGGTCGGTCTAGCCTAAAAAGTAATAACCCACTAGTCACCTTACTGTGACAGGAATAGAAATAAGTATTTAAATAAACCGGGTAAAGTATAGAATTAGGATGCCATACAATTTGGACATTGCGGACAGCAGCCATCAGCAGCACACTAGGCATTTCCACTGTAATAAAAGCCAGATTTGTTATGAAACCACTTGGTTTAACTTGCTAGAAACATAGTGACTGGATAAAGGACATACAAACTATTATTGGGAGAAGAAAACCGGTTCCATCTTCCATCTTTAGTACAATTGCAGGATGCGGAGCATAGTCCGGCAGGTGGCCTCCAGGGGGGTTATTGTGAATGCATCTCAAAAGCCTACCGTCCCTCATCTTGATTATAAAACCTTCTGCTCCGCTTCTTACCTCAACTGTCCAGAACAATTAAACACATAAGGTTTAAGTTGGAGCTTCGGACGTGTATTATTATGCATAGAATACACATAAGAAGCAAACGAGAAATAGCAGCACCACAAAATATCCCATTTTTGATAAAATAAAAAAAGCATATATTCCCTCGATAGTTCTAGTGTTCTATTTAGTTGTATACCTAGTGTCACAGTGCAAAATTTGAAATGCATGGTTTTGTAATTGTGGGACAAATGGACAGTAAGAACATGCATAAGATATACACAATATAACTAAATGCAGGATGCCAGAATAGCCGATCATTAACAAAGCAACTGGAAAATGAAATGTACAAATGTTGCATACCAGCTTCAACCACACTTGAATTGACATACTCAGCATCATTCTCACTAGGATTCCCAGCCTTACTGCCGTTACCATCTGACGATGAACTGAAACTACATTCAACTGTTACATGTCTCCTCAAATGTTGCGGGCATCCAAAGTTAGTCTTTCCACAGCGGAGCCCTGCGAGTCCCAGAAATCCACTTCTGACTAATTTAGCTTTCAGCAGAGGAGAGTTAACAGGCACACACATTCCAGTTTGTTTTGCACTCATCACTGGGCAAATGACAGGGCCTGGTAGAGTAGCCATCTCAGGTCCTGAAAAAAACAAAAATAAAAATAAACTAATAATAATAATGATAAATAAATAAATGACTGTAAAAGGAGGTGGAATAGTAGCATCATGAATGAACCTGTTATCTTCCAATAATGCTAAACATACAGGTTTGAATTGGGTTCACTTGTGTTCTTAATTTTCATTTTTCACTAAATCAAATCCACAATGCATTCATTTTCACGGCATAAACTCCAAAACTCAAATCCGAGACGGACAAAACAAAACCAAAACAAAGTAAACACAATATTTTCTCGTAGGAACATGGAAAAACATAAGAATAAAAAATCCTCATAACAAATGCACCAAAACAAAGCATTCTCTTCCATCTTGTGGATCGAGGAACTTTATCCTGTATTAAGCGCGGTATACTTTCTTGAAAAGAACGATCTAAGAACATTAATCTAAGAACGGTCTAAGAACATTAATTTTCATCCAAAATGAAAGTCATTACCGTAATAAACACACAAAGCACAGATCGATCAAATTCAATATCAAGTATCAACCACATTTCCCAAGGCACGACGATCATTTCCAAACATTAAAACTCCATACTAATACATTAATTCTACTATTATTTCCCCAATCTGACTCGTTTCCCCACCGATAATTAACATCAAAACCGTAATTACACAATCATCCAATCAAAAGCCATAGATTACAGAACAAATACTCTTTCACGAAGACGTATTCAAGGAAACTGGAAAACACCTCAATCAAACCTTCGATCCTCAGAATTCTTCAATAGCCGAGATCAGAAACGCCAAAGCCACAGTTCAATCCGCGCGGAAACAAATCGTCAAAATCCACAATACAAATATCACCAAAAACCAGAAATCAACGCAACAACCGACTCGAAAAAACTGAAAAAATAACTGCAACCGATGAAACTGGATAGACCAGAGGCGAAATTGGATGGAGAAAGCGAGAGAAAGTGGATAAGAGATTTTTCCTTTGGCAGGAAGAAAGCGGAAGAGAGAGGTCAAGTGTCAGTGCGTTTGATGCATCACGCCATTAATAGAGTTTGTTGATACGCCATTCTGTTTCGGTCGTTTCAGTTTAGGGACTCCGGGGAGTGAGACTCCAGAAATGATCTTTACCGTTGAATGATGTAGGACCCACTATGTACAGTCTAGATTGATTTCATTTCCGCATAACCAGATCCAGATTACGATTTGTTTTTGTTTTGTTATTGGAGGAGGGTTCACGTAAAGACGAATTTGCCCTTGGTGCAATTTTGCTAGTTTTTAATTTTAATCAATATTATTTCTAATTGATTAAAAAAAAAATCAAAATTGTTTAAAATATCGTAAGATTGTCTTAGTTTAGAGTTTGAATTTTGTATTAAAATTTTAAATATAAAAAATTTAAATCTAAGTAGTTATTTGATACTCCTAGTCCAAGACAAAAAGTAAAAACACATTTGTTTTTTTAATAATATTTGAATATTTAATAATATATCAAAATATAACTATAAAAAAAAATACAAAAATATTTTTATCAATATTTTATAATACAAATATAATGTAAAAATATTTTAAATATTAAATATAAAGACGCAACAAAAGCAACAATATACTTTCTATACTTATCGGAAAGAGTATTATATAAATAAATATTAATATGATATTTTAAATATAATTTTTTTTAATATAATATAAAAAAATTGTTAATAAGTTTAATAAACAATCAAAGAATCAAATAATGACACAATTTTAACATATAAATGAACTATACCTAAAAAGATTCTCTCTCTCCCTTATCTATATATTTGTTTGTTTTTTATACGGATTTTAAAGAATGTTAGTATTATATGGGAATTGGTATGAATAAAATAGAAAAAATTAAAATAATTTTATTAGTATGTGTGATATAAAGATAATAACATTTGTTTATAAATTGTAAAAAAAAATTTAATATTAGTAGAAAATAAAATTACTACAAAAGAAATGAATTATTATGAGACTTATAAAATAAAAAAAAATAGATAAATAGTTAATGATCTTATTTTGAGCCCTAAAAATCGGACACGGGCTCGGCCCAAAACATTAAAAGACGTAGTTTGGTTTGTATATCAGCTAAGTTCATTCGGAGCCCGATTTTAGAAAATATTCAAATTTTATTTTATTTTGTTAGAAAATTCTTAGTTCAACATTATTGTTTTTTAAGTCGGCAAATAATATTTATTTCGTTTAGAAGAAAATTGTACTTTTAAACAATTTATTTAAATGATATCATTCCCACATAAAAGATTGTTTGGTTTTTATTTGAGTGTATTATTTATTTATTTAATGTATGTATATAATATTTTAATATAATATTTTTATAAAAATATATAAATGTCCTACTTTCCTATTTAGGACGTTCGACAACTATTGTCCTATTTCATTTTTTAAACACAAATTTTACATTTTTACCCTTTGTTTATTTATTACTTTGAATCTCTACCGTACAATTAAGGGCAAATTTGTCAATTCATAACAAAAAAAACAATCAACTAAAAAACTGTGCAAATATACTTTAGGACAATATAAATTGGACGGAGGGAGTAATAATTTTTAGGAGGGATCTAATCACTGCCTAATGCTAATTCTCTCTCTAATACTTTTGCTAAGTTACTCTTTAATGCTAATTCTTTCATTGAATCCTCTAGGGTGTATTTGTTCGTGGGTTTTAGTTTTTTTGACTTTGATTTTTAAACAGTAAAAAGTTAAATTTAAATAGTTATTTGATATGATATAAATAGAGGTTGATGTGATACTTTAAATATAAAAGAAAATTGTAATATAATATAAAAAAAAATAAAATTATTTGACGTGATATTTTTGGAGGAAAAATAGAATCTGAATAATAAAAACCTATGTAATGTTAATTATCTACGCAAATTTTTCATTAATTCCCCTACTAAATACCCTCGCAAATTTTATTGCTAAATCCGTCACTAAACCCCTTACCAATTTGTTCTACCAATTATATTAAACTAATTCCAACAGAATAAGATTACATTAAATGGATAAAGTATTTCAATTTGTGTGTTTTATAAAAACTACATTCTTTTTAAATTTCTGTCTAAAATTTTTAAAAACATATTTATAAGACAGAGAAGTACTTCACTTTGTATTTTTAAATAGAAGTATTTTTTTTTTATATTAAATATAAAAAATTGTAACATTAATATAAAAATAATATTTTGTATCGAATAATTGACTTTTTAGAAGTGAATATAATATATACATCATATGAATTTGTGTTATATATATTATGTAAACCAACTATAAATTATGTATATATACAATTTTTTCGTATCATTTATATAAAATATAATATTTTGTGTTGAATAATTGATTTTTTTTATAAATGAATACGTTATATGTATTATATATACTCCTTTCGTCCATTTTATAAATATACATTTACTTTTGTCACAAAATTTATAAAATATAATAGTATTTTAATTGTAATGAGTAGGTAAAAATAATAAATACACTTTTACTCTTATTTTTTTAGTGTAAAAATAATAAAGTAAGAGTATTTGTAGAAAAAAAAATTCATAGTTACTAAAAATAGAAACTAATTATTTTGTAATTGAATAACTCAAAATAAAAATATGTATACTTCTATAAATGAACGAATAGAGTATATTATATGAATTTGTGTAAATATACATATATTTTCTGTACAAAATAATACGTGTATATTTTTATTGACATAAATATATATATTTTTTTCCATAAATTAGCATTTTTTTATTTTTAGTAAAATTAGTAAATCCAAATATACTTAACTAATAAATCTAACTTAATTAAATATATAAGGTATAATATGTAGTGATTACTCAAAACCTCTCTACATCTGTTTCTTTCCTTAAAAAAAAAAAATTTTTTTTTACCTACATATAAAATTTTACTTATATTATAAAATTAATTTATATTAATTATAAATAAATAATTATATTTTCTTATTTACTTTGTATTTTAGAAATTTTAATCTCTACAAAATAATATCCATATTTATTTTTTATTTTTTATTGTGATGTAATTTAAAAAATATTTAAATAAACATTCTAATTTTCTTAATCATATATATTAAATTTATTTTAATACTATCATAACTATTGTTAACTCAATATTATTAATTATCTAAGAAAATAATAAAATAATATAAATTGTAAGGGTATTTGTAACGTTAGATATTAGTACAATTACTAAAAAAAATGAATATTTTATTATAGGACGAACCAAAATGAAAAAATAGATATATTGTTAAGGAACGGATGGAGCAGTATTCATGTGTAAATATTTCATTTGTTATCAAAATTTGTGTTCAAAAAATTGAGTATGAATTTTAATAAAAATAAATAAATAATAATAATTTTTAGTTTTTATAGTAAAAAAAATATAAAATTAATGTATTTTTTCACTTAAAAAAAATATATTTTTATGACAATTCAAAAATAAAAATAAAAACAAATTTGAATTAACCTTGATAATATAGAATATTTCATATATTTATATTAAACATCTATATATACACTTTTATTTAAGTTTGGGTATGAATTTTAATAAAAATAAATAACAATAATAATAATGATTAGTTTTTATAGTAAAAAACTATAAAATCAATGGTATTTTTTCACTTAAAAAATTATTTATTTTCATGACAATTCATAAATAATAATGAAAATAAATTTGAATTAATTATTCGAAGAATTTTATAAAATTTCTACTATTTATTCAATTTTTTTTTTAAAAATCAAATATTTATTTATTTTTATTATATTAAAAATTAATTTTACATTGTTCATGTATTTATATTATTTACTATTAAATTCAAATTCAAAATCCAAACTCCTAAAAAAACACACGTAAATAATATATTACATTTAATATATTTATATTAAACATATATATATATATATACACTTTTATTTAAGTTTCTTCTGATTATTTTATTCTATATTTCCTTCTGAGCAAATCAATAATTACTGAAACAGCTTCGAATCTAAGGATATATATATATAAATAAATAATTATTTTTACTTAAGCATGGAAATAAAAATAATTATTTACCATAAATAAAGAAATTGTATAACAGCAAACATGGCAGTATAAGGTAATTTAGCTGCAATCACAGGCACCACGTTTCCCTTTCTTTTTGTGGAATATGCTTGACAACGATGCCCGCAGTAATACGTCGCCGTTTCAGGTGCCGTCTTCTCGAAACGACGTCGTACGACATATTCCCGTCTGCACCCGGTGTTCCTACACCGAACCAGTCAAATAATTTTCTCTAATTTATAGAAAATAGGAATATTAAAATAGTAGGCGGGAGCTCACTTTTATTATCATTGGTCCGGGACCTTTAATCCAGGAATCATACGGTTTCCTCTCTATTATGTCCTTTTCCTTTACAAAAAGAAAACGATTTTTTTGATAATATCTGTAAATTTATCAAATTCGCAGTGAAAAGAGATCGTCCGCCATGTGAGGTAATATATTGCCGTGAATCCTTCTGATCCGAATCGGAGAAATTCAAGCGAATTTTCGAATTTTGAGGAAGTTTGGGTGACGATTTTAAGGTGGGGAGAAGTTAAAAACGTTGTTTATGGAGCGATTTGGAGGTAATTTTGAGAAGAGAGTGGAAGAATGAAGAATTTCGAGCTCCGCGGAGAGATTTGAAGATAGCTTGCGATAATTCAGCGTTAAAGGTATGTGCGTTTTCGATTTCTTGAGGAGTTTGTTCGAATTATGTTCACTAGTTTCTGTCCTTCGGTAAGAATTTCGTGCTTGGTGCGTAATTGTACTTGATTCTTGCCTCCTCATCTTCCTTTTTCTTAATTGAAGGAAAAATTAATTTGTTGTTGGTCTTTGTCGTGGTTCAATTTTTTTGCCATGTTTTGAAGTAAAAGCTCCTTTCCCCATATTGTTTTTCCCTGTTTCAGATTTTTAACTCCTTTTACGTTTAGCATTAATTACTGGGCGTTGAACAGTGGTGTTTCTAACGCTTTTAAATTTGGAATTCACTTGAATTAATATGAGTAAATGTCTCAGAGTTGATTTCGAACTATTAAAAAGAAAAAGGAAAATTCCTTACTTTTTTCTGGATTGTTAATTGATTTTTGGAAACTTACCAAATATATCTGGATGTATCTTCACGAGGTGATCTAGGATTTTGTGTATTCTTTTTTACCTTATTGAGCATTACATGGAAGATAATCGATGTTTTTACAAGAAATTGGGTTTTAGGGAAGAATCTATGATTGGTGACCTTTTCCTACTGGTTCTTCTGTTTGATCTAAACTATCTTTCTAAGATCTTTTACTGGATGCATCCACGAGTCTCTTTGTTGGTAGTCTTATTGTTTCAATACAATTAAGAAGGAAATGACAATAGGGTGTTCCTGGGAAAGATTCAAATGGTGATGGTTTGTAAATGATTCTTTGCTTGAAAGTAGAAAATGTATAATAAGGAAGGAGCAGTTTTGGTTGCCATAATAACAGAAATAGTTTCTATGTTACTGTTTTGATTTCACCTGCATAACTGTAGGATCATATTCTGTGCACAATATTTTGTTTTGATGAGAAAACATTGTTCTTAGTACATATTGTGTCGAATTATCTATTTAGTTGATCAGTTCGAAGATAATTGCCTGCAAACTCTTTGCTAGTTAAACTTAATAGTTTCTTTATGGGTTTTGACAGGATGGCAACTCCAGTGGAACCTCCAAATGGGGTTAGAACTCCGGGAAAGCACTACTTCTCCATGTGGCAAACTCTTTTTGAGATTGATACAAAGTACGTACCAATAAAGCCTATTGGTCGAGGAGCCTATGGCATCGTATGTTCTTCTGTCAACAGGGAAACAAATGATAAGGTTGCAATCAAGAAGATCCACAATGCTTTTGAAAACCGTACTGATGCATTAAGAACCTTGCGTGAACTGAAGCTTCTTCGGCATCTCAGACATGAAAATGTGATAGCTCTTAAAGATGTCATGCTTCCTATTCACAAAGGAAGCTTCAAAGATGTCTACTTAGTTTATGAGCTTATGGATACCGATTTGCATCAGATCATTAAGTCTTCCCAGGCACTTACGAATGACCATTGCCAGTACTTCCTTTTCCAGGTAATTCTTATGAATAGTGACCAAAGAATTTTATATGAACCATTAGTTTTGTTTTGCTTTATTTGATTATTTCATTTATGTGCGCAAATAATCATTTGTAGAACCACTAGGATTTAAATCTCCTGCTCTAAATGTGATCGGTCACTGTGCATTGGAAAAGCTAACTATAAAACTACAAGGCTTTACCGCGGTGCAAGAGTTTTCATGATAGAATGATCTTATGCGATGAATTTGGTCAAATACCTTTACAATAGTGCTTCTGTCTTCACTTATTATTATTATTATTATGAATACGACTGAAAAATCATGAAAACTATTCAAAAAGCATTTTCGAATAATATCTTATACCAATGATGGCCTCTGAGTGGTCATGGGCATTCCATCTGTTTGCTTGTTTTGTTTTCATATACATCAAGAACTTTTTGTGATAGCTACAAAACCTTTTTGGCCTACATGCACTAAAAACATGTTTTTGGAAAATATTTCATGGTTGTCACAATCCCTTTTTTGTTTGGTGGTGGAGTAATGTCGAAGATAAGAACAAGATCATTCTATATCTAGGCATCCTATCTCATAGAAGAATCGATGAAAATCTTATTTTACTTGTATCTGAAGACATTTTTTATACCACTGTTGTGAATGTTTTTTTCCAGTTACTACGAGGTTTGAAGTATCTACACTCAGCAAACATTCTACACCGTGATTTGAAACCCGGAAACCTACTCATCAATGCAAATTGTGATCTCAAAATATGTGATTTCGGGCTTGCACGTACCAACAGCAGTAAAGGCCAGTTCATGACTGAATATGTGGTGACGCGCTGGTATCGAGCCCCAGAGCTCCTTCTTTGCTGTGAGAACTATGGGACGTCAATTGATGTATGGTCCGTTGGTTGTATCTTTGCTGAGCTTCTCGGTAGGAAGCCCATTTTCCCTGGCACCGAATGTCTGAACCAGCTCAAGTTAATTATCAACATCCTTGGTAGCCAAAGGGAAGATGACCTCGAATTCATCGACAACCCCAAGGCGAGGAAATATATCAAATCCCTCCCTTACACCCTCGGCACCCCCTTCACCCGCCTCTACCCACATGCCAACCCTCTGGCACTTGATCTGCTGCAGAAAATGCTCGTCTTCGACCCTTCAAAGAGGATTAGTGTAACAGAAGCTCTTCAGCACCCTTACATGTCTCCTCTGTACGACCCGAGATGTGATCCTCCAGCTCAGGTCCCGATCAACCTTGACATTGACGAGGATTTAGGGGAAGAGATGATTAGGGAAATGATGTGGGAGGAAATTCTGCACTACCATCCTGAAGGTGCTAGCAGTATTGGAGTTGGAATGTAAAAAGCCCGAGCTGAGGCTTTAGCCAGGTATTTTGCTTTAAATGTTACCGATGTTTGTGTTAGTATGTTCTTGCTTAATTATTTCAATAATCATGAGAAGTAATGAATGAATATGCATTATCAGTTTGTGCTGCTAATGTGGCTAGACTACTTACCTAATTTTGGTACTGATTATTGCATTGCTTGTGCTGCTGTTGTATGCCGTTATGCTCATGCTCTGTACATTAGCTACTATTATATATATATATATGAAAATTTCATTAAAAAAAAAAAAAAAAGAAGATCGAAACTATATAATATCATTTCACCAGATTAAAATTTACAGCAATTACCATATCATTTCTTTAGCACTAAATGAGGTGCTATTTGTATGAATGCTATCTGGCTGGAGCAGCTGTGATTGTCTACCTTTTTCGACGGCTTCTTTAACCCTTTTCTTATGCTTAAGCTGCTCTTATACTCTGTTTTTTTAGTTCTACTTTTGTGCATATTCTGGAGTTTGAATTTTTCTTTCTTTGCATCCCATGTTTTTGGAGCAATTGATGTAAAAACATGTTTAAAATATGGGATTGTTTGCTCTTCTTGTGGGGTTCCATTTTATTACAATATCTCACATGCTTACAGAGGCTTTGCTAGTAGGGGCCATATGTAAATTTGAGGATTTTAAATATGTGTTATAGTTGATTATCCGCTGTTCTATTATTGTCTTTATGTGTTACAGTACCTTAGAGAGACCATTAATTCCTTAGCTAAATGGAAATAGATAGATTAATAATAATTGTACTATAAATTTGAAGTTTTATTAAATATTACAGCATATGCTAACTGCCCATGAGTGTCAGCATTAATTTTTAAGATTGTTGGTCTGATCTGACTGATGGATTAACATTTGGTGAATCTACACCATTCATTTATGTGGGCCCTACTACAACATGAACGGTTGGGATTAACTCTGTTGGGCAGTATGCAAGTTGATTGACTAACAGACAAAAGTTATGCAGAATAATTTTTATTTTTCTTGAAAAAGTTTATACATTTGTCATTAATTTGTGAATGAATGGTGACAAGTCCAAATTTGCTTTAATCATGTGTAGGCTCTGAATTTAGGGCCTACTAAACCGACCATAAGACTTTTTTTTTTTTTTTTTAAATAAATTTTCTTGTGGACAATAATTGATCAATTTGTTCAAAAACTCTGTAGAATTACTGTAGGGTTTTTTTTTGGATTTATTATTGTCCAAAAAGAATTTTGAGGAACTGTTTATGATGATAAGTAATTGGTGTTTTCATGTAAGCAAAATGATAAAAGATCAGTTGTGGACCTAATTGTGTAGTTTGTCTGCGCTAACCTTATAAAAATTGAGGTTTGTACGCGATTATATGCACCACATTTAGAGCTTCTTAACTATTCTTGATTAATTAACATTTTCTTATAATACATAATTAATATATATATATATTTATGAATAAATGATGTATATTTTTAACAGTTTGATCAGACCCTTAGGCACTGTCCCCGTTTGTAAATGGGAATGAGGGGTTTCGATTTAAAAATAGAAAAATTTTGAATTAAAATAATTTTTTATATGTTATAAATAAGTATTTTTAATGAGAGATTTTGAACGAAAAATTTGATTTTTTTTTTTTAATATTAAATCATTTTGGAGGTAAACAATTATGAGTTTGTTAGTTTGTTCTCTTAGGGTGTATTTGTTTATAGGATTTGCAAAGATTTTAACTATTTATTCAAATTTTTCTCCAAAAAATATTAAATCAAACATTTATTTTTTGTTTTTTTTATATTTTATATTATATTAAAAATTTATTTTACATTCAAAAACATCACATCAATACCTATTTATATCACATTATATAACTATTCAAATTCAAATTTTTTAATATTTAAATCCAAACTTTCAAACAAACACACTCTTAATTTTTTTGGATTGAATGATTTTTATAAATATTCTTAAAAATATGATATACATATATACATATATTAACAAAATCTATATTTTATTTATTCATAAAAAGTCAATAATTTAACACAAAATATTATTTTTATATTAAAGTATAATTATTATACCTAACATACAAATAAATCTATCTAAAAACACAAAAGTGAACAAATTCATGTTTATTTAAAGTTTGAATTTGAGGTTTAAAAATAGTAAAAATTTGAATTAGTGACAATATTTTATGTGATATAAATAAGTGTTTTACTGTGATATCTTGAATGAAAAATTACTTATTTGATAATGCAAGAACAAATAATGTAATGTTAATTCATTGAATTATTTCTCGTTCTTTACTTGCATGAATATTATATTCCAACAAAATAAGCAAAAATTGCTTATTGATTAATAGCTACAATGGCAAAAATTGTCAATATTTATATCTTAAAAATTAGTAAGGAAAAAGTAAAATAATAATAAAAAAAATAATAAAAAATTGCTGTTGTCACTTGTATTATGCAGTCAAAATAATCTCTCCCCATTAACTTTTAATTAGACAAATATATATTATTGCTGAATCTGGGGTAGGTAACAAAATAAATTCTGGGAAATTGTCTCTGAAAATATGACCTAACTTGACAATCAATTAAAAAACAACAAACAAAAGAGACCTAATTCAAAGATGCAATTTTGTGGTAATTACTTCAACAATTCTTTATAGTATATATCTTATGTAAAATATATATATATATATATATCTCTGGTTGAAAAAGTGAACATGTGTTATATGTTGCACCTTAAAATTTTAAATTACACAATTATAGCTATAGATATGAGGTTTGAAAATATACAAGTAAAACAAAAGGTTAAAAAAAATAAAAATAAAACTGATTATTATTTTACCTAATCTTTTAGTCAAAAATAGTGCAAAAGCAGAATATTCTTTGATAGCTGAAGGTGGGCAAAATTTACTCAAAACAAAGACAACTTCATTGGATCTTTGACTATATGCATAATTTTTTTTTAATTTTTAATTTTTAATTTTTAATTTTTTTTTGGTGGTAGTGATACCTGAAATTAATTCAATTTATGTGTCACTATCTTTTTCTTTTCTCTCACAGTAGATTCCTAAACCCTTTTCACTTTCTTGCAATTTTAAATGTATTTTCTTGTTTAATTTCTTGTAACCTTCTTCCAAGCCTTCCCCTATAAATCAGACCCTTCTCCCCTCTTCAAAACCTCCCTCTTCCTCTCTCTTGGCTTAATTTGTTCTCACTCCTCTCTCTCTCTCTCTTGGATTGTTTCTTGATCTTGAATTCTTGATGGTACAAATAGTAGTTTAATTATGATGTATTATGAGGTTGAAGTAGTGAATATAATCACAAACTTTCCTCTGATCTTATGATCAATCCCTTTTTCAGCATCTGTGGGATTCATCTTGTTCAATCTTTTTCGGTTTTATTTCTATATTGGTTCTACGATATTTCATAAATAACTGATCATTGTCCTGTTGGAATTCAAATCAAAGAATCTGATTATATATAAAAGAACTATATATATATATATATATATAATGGTGTATTCAAGCGGGACTTGTTCGGGTTCGGATTTGATCAATCAGAAGAAGAAGAAGAGAATGGAATCGAACCGGGAATCCGCGAGGCGGTCCAGGCTGAGAAAGCAGCAGCATTTGGATGATCTGACGGCTCGGTTGGCGGAGCTCCGGCGACAAAAAGATCGGATTTCGATCGAATTAAGCGCCACCAAAGAGCAAACTGTGAGTGTGGAGGCTGATAACTCAGTGTTGAAGGCTCAGCTGGTGGAGCTCACACACAGGCTTCAATCCCTTAGAGGGATTTTGAGCTACATCAGTTCTCCGGCGGATGCCGCCGCCTCCGGCAGCGGCGGCGCCGGAAGCTGCATGGCTGTTGGGGAAGAGGAGTTTGAATATGGGGAGGGGTTGGTGAACTATCCATGGGGTTTGATGGAGATTAATAAACAGTATCCCATTATGGCCTCATCTGCTGCTGAGAGGTTTGATTGTTGAGGCGGGGGGGGGGGGGGGGGGGGGGGGTCTAAAGATTTTGTTTCGATAAAAGGGTGAATTGTGGAAATATAATTATGTATAGGGTAATTTTGTTTTAGTTTAATTAATATAAAAATTAAATTAGGGTTTAGATGGAGTTCCTGATGGGGAATATATATGAAAACCACCTTAATAATATATATATATATATATATATAGAAGAATTATGGACAAGTGGCTTTCATGTGTGAACATGGCTTCTCGTGGCAATATTGAATACATGTATAATATTTTGGGACTTTTTTTTGGTCTTTTTTTTAAATTTTTGTATGGAGCTTTTAAGTTGTGTTTATGTATATATATATATATATATATATTTGTATTGATGTAGATTGGGAATTGAATGTATTCTTAAATATTAATGAAAGGGTTTGTATGCATTGAGTTCAAACTTCGACACTCTTCAAGTCTGGCATGTAACATATAGTTCGATTACTACAATTTACAGACTATTAGATTCGGTCGATAGTTTATTTAAAACGCATTTGTTAAGTAGCAGTAACATTATTTCAAAATCCTAATACAAAATTTATAATATTACATTGAACTATTCAAATATAAAACAGTTTAAAAGATATTATTTATTTATTTTAAAATTTTTTTATCTATACTATACAATCAAATCAATTGTTAAATATTATTTTATATCAATCTGTTGTAGATATGCGGTGAGACATCTGCTATAAATTTGAATTTAATTTCACATGCGTGTGTGATAACAAAAAATAAAAATAAAAATACTATTTCATATTACAAACAACACATTCAAATTATTCTTCGAACTTAATAATAATAATAATAATAATAAAAATAAAAAAAAAATAAATAAATAAAAGAAAACCCACACCCAAAAACATTTTAAAAAAAATTTAGCTATGCTTATGTTTTTAATTTTGTTTTCATAATAAGTTTTCTTTTGTCATAAAGATATAGTAGCATTTCTTTTTAATTTAAACTATTATATAAAAATAGTATATTAAATATTAATTTTTATCATTCTAATTCTCATAATTCCCTAAACACACATATTTGATGCCGAACTACGTCTGACAGAGGAATCGCACTAGGCGAATCATATAAAATTCACTTATAATTATCAATTTACATATAGACAAAAAAAATAAAAAAAAAATAAAAAAACAAAAACAAAAAAACAAAAAAGAAAAATTAAATATAAATGTGTTCTTTCAGCCAAATTTTCAAAACACTTACTAATTAATATTATAAAAACAATACAAAACATGCTTATACCCCTCTTTACCTTTTGTAAAATTATACAAATATTCTTCGGACACTATTAAAAATAGTCATTTTATGTGAACATATACAACGTTTTAATATAATAATCCGATATTTTATTCACTCCAAAAAAAAAAAAAAAAAAAAAAAAAGTAGGTAATTCAACAAAAAGAAAATTTATATTAATGACAGACTTTTTCGTACGTAAGCATTAAAAAACACATCAAACTAAAAACACAAAACAAACACACAAATCAATAGATTACCTACACTAGTATCTAAAACTTAAGAATAACATAAAAATGTCTACAATAGTGGGATCGATTGAAAAAAAAAAATTAAAAATTCTAAATCAGTAGACAAATTTGCATAGCCAACTGATATTTTCAACATTGAAAAAATAACAGCAGTTGTAATTTTCCATCAGCTTGCAGTAATAGTAAGAAGTAGAGTATGTACCTGATACATGGATAGATACATAGATGCGGTATTTTCGGGCTCTTTTCGATATTATGTGATCTTTTTCGAATCAATGAGTTCCTTTCTTCGCCTTCTGCAAAACCTCCTTCAAAACCGAAGATATTCTCTTCGACATGTGATGCTCCAGAAACATCTCATTGACCCGACCATAACCCTTCATTCCCATTGTCATTCTCATCTCTCGGTTAGTCGCCAGTCGGATAATATTTTCAGCAAGAGGCGTTACACCCTCTTTTCCGGCCGGATGCAACCATCCGGTGCTTCCATTCACTACAATCTCTGTTGTACCACCGGCTGCAGTGCCCTGATAATATATATATATATATATATGATAAGGCATGATTTAAATTACTTTCATGAACTAAATAAAAGAGTGGAAGAGGGAAGGATTAGCCAGTTTGAAGGGGATTTTTGCAATTTATTGTTTGAAATGTTTGGTTCATATGGAAAAATGAGACATGGACTTACAAGGAAGTTATTATTTTAAAAGTGTAAATATTCTCTTTCAAGTCTCGAGCAAGGAAGACGAAAAGAAAGATTATAAAGCTCACCAGGACAGGCAGCTGGAATGCCATAGCTTCAATTGTTATCCTACCAAAGCATTCTCCCCGGGCCTATATTTCACGAAAAGAAGTGAATGGTCTCTTCGGCACAATGTAATAACTCATAGATAAAAATACATTTATAGTATATATATATATATTCGTTCTAGACAATGCTACTCTATTAGGCTATCACCATTTTAAGCTTAGTAAGTCACCGGCTTATACCAAATAAGAGGGAAAAAAAGCCATCACTTCATATGCATAAATCAAGAATAAACATCTTAAATTTTCTTTAAATTCCCGCGGTGGCTAATAGCATCAATGGGCAGGTCAATTCAATACTTAAGAAACTAGCATAGGAGCTTCACAGAAGAGTGTAGGAATGTAATGGAATGAGTGATGTTTGAAGATTCAGGGTTTTTCTATTTTTGGTTTCAAACTAAAAATACTAATATTCACCTTGCACGGTTCGCAATAAATATATACTACCCCTCTGTCTCAATTCAAAGTACTCCTTTTACTATTTTCGTCCGTCTCACTCCAAAGTATCTCTTTTCTATCTTAAAAGAAGTAACCATATATTCATATATCAAAGTACCCTTTACTTTTCCTTAAATTATAAACATATTATTACACATAAAATCAAAGGGCAAACATCTCAAAAACTCTTTAACACTTCCACTAACTAATAAAATACTATTATTTCTTAATTTACTACAAAATCCCAAATGGTCCCTTTGATTTGGGATGGAGGGACTATTTCTTTTTTTACAAAATATTATATTAAGATACTATTTAAATCAAAATTCAAATAAAAACATTAAACTCAAACCAAAACCAAGCAAACCCTCAGTATTACATGCCAAAATATGAAACTTAAAAATAAACAAGTACCTGAGAATTTTGGACTAGGACATCGATTGAAGCCAAATAAGGGGCAACATTAAGTGTTTTGTTAACAAAGTGCACGTCCTTCTGCAGTTTCTTGTCTGCAACAAATTTACGCAATTCTGTTTCGAATTTAGTCTGGCCACTCATGTCACTTCCGACTATAACGGCATGCAATGGGGGCACTTTAAGGTTTCTCTCTTTGATGAGTTGCAGTGCTTCATCAAAAGCTTTAAGAAATAGATCCTGGCCTTTCCCCCGAGAAACACCTGCAGCAGCAAATAATATTGAGTTCGGAAGCAAAGTGGTCAGTGGAATCACTGATAAGAAAAGTGTCTTGCTTACAGAGCCCATATACTGAAATAGAGAAAAGAAAAAGTAGAATTGAGAAAATGTCATAACAAATGACACACATTCGATAATATTTTTCAGGGATTTATTCTGAAGTATAAATCTTGATTATTCTCTATTAAAAGAAAGGTTCCAGGAAAATTTTCATCGAACATTTAGCACAATAGAATTGATAACTAGAAGGGAAAACACCCTAAAAAAAAATAAAATTAGCCTAACAAGTTCTTTTCAGGAATGCAGCAGCAAAGAGAGAAGTAAATGAACTAGAGGTCTCAAATTTTCATGAGAGACTTTAACAGCGACCAAGTCGTAATGCATGCATGCAAAGGTCATGGTGAATTCAATTAACTTGACAGAAAAAGCTCAATCAAGACTGGATTTGGTGGCACTCTTAATAAATCTTAAAGTTGTGATATTTACTGGGAAGATACGATGTTTGTGGAGTATGTTCCCAAAACAAAGCAAAGAAACGGATAAAGCAAAATACTCTTTGGTTGTTAGCAAATCATACTGTTGATTATGGAAAAAAGAAGATCATCTTTATGCACCCCAAGTGATTCTCTGATATGTTCTCGAAGGACCCTTTTCGCTACGCTGTCTTCAGCTACTTCCATCAAGTCCTTGCTATTTCCAAGGTGAACAACATATGTATCAGGCATCTTAATCCTGCACCATTGGAAGTCGAAACATGATACTTTGGGGCATTTCTTACAATGAGAAACTATAAATTACACAAAGAAAACATATTCAACAAAATCTTGAGTAAATCAAATGTTTGAAGGGGGAAGCTAATTGAAACGCGACAATCATAAGCTAGTAAACTATATTTTCATGGCCAAGCAGTTTCAAATATAATTACTAACATTAAAAAAAGATATGCGAGAAGAAATCAAATCCACCAACACAATAGCTATGCTGTGAGAACAAGTGTACCGAAAATTGGGGCTAGTAAACAAACTTTCTGCCACTACTACACCCTAGAGTCCTTAATGTTTCAGAGATACACATAGATGGAGTCCAGCTAAAATAATGGTCTTGAAAACAGATGAGTCCTTCGTATTCCAAGAACACAAAGTAGTAATACCCTAATCACTCCTGAGTCCGGCTCTTTCAGTAATCATCAGTAAAATGACAATCATCAGCTGGGTAAACTATATTTTCATGTCCAAGCAGTTTCAAATATTACTAATAACATTGAAAAAAGATGCAAGAAGAATCAAATTAACCAACACAATAGCTATGCTGAAAAATGAGAACATATGTACCGAAAATTGGGGCTAGTGAACATGCTTTCTGCCACTACTACACGTTCTTATAGTTTAAAAACATCTGTAAGAGTCCTTAATTTTTCAGAGATACATATAGATGGTGTCAAACAGATGAATCATTCATATTTCATATCCAAGAACACAAAGTAGTAATACCCTAAACGTTCCTGTGTCCGGTTCTTCCAGTAATCGGCAGTAACATGTGAATCAATCATGGCACCTGCAACAAAAGGGAGGTGCTTAACATACTCCAGTTTAAAGTAATGCCCGCGCATCTCATGAATCCACCACAAAACCTTGGGGAGTACATGAGGAACATTTTCTTGGAGCACAGCGTCCAGCCACTTGCCGGCCACGGCAGTATTTAAAATGACTAAATCAGCTTTAAGAGCTGTTTCAACAGCTCCCTGGCCCTTGGCAGATAAAACCTAAAATGACAACAATAAAATCTATCGATGACGATGAATTCATGCAAAGGAGTCTAATGGAACCAAGATTTTAATTTCATCAAAACCTCCACTCCTCTGTCAGTCATCTTTTGTTCCAAACTGTAAACCACTTCATCAGGTTTAGCTGGCTTCTGGTTAGTGATCCACACGACCTTTGTGCCAACAGCTCTTAACAAAAAGGCAAGCTCCATTAATAGTAAAGGGCCACCTATGCACAATTTTGAACAAAAAATTGAATAATCAATTTGCAGTCTCGCCTATAAATGCATTCAAAATCAATCAAATAACTTCCCAATAATCTTTCGATATGAAAAAAGCAATAGACGGAAGCAGTAGAGTACCAGAAAGAGAAAGCTCGTGGGAAACAAAGAGAACTAGCTTCGATGACATGAAACCGAGCGGATTTTCATGTTCTTCTTTCTCAGCGACCCCGCCATCGGAGTTGAAGGAACGAATTGGAGTCACGAAGGTATTCCGCTCACCGAAGTCGCGAGAGTGGCAGGAATTGAAGGCTGCTCCGACTAAGAAGGCAATGGCGGATGAGAAAGCCACGCATAGCAATATCACCAACGGCCATCTCTTCGCTCCTGAAATTGATGACACGGTTGAATGCTTCGCCATGATATATATTTTTCACGGCCAAAGATCATCCATCAACGATCAAACTCAGGTTCGAATCTGGAAAATTGGGATTTCGAGGGAATTGTCACTTGCTCTATGCTCACTGTACAGATCTGAACCTTCTCGACGCCGATTCAAGCACTTCGCACCTCCATCGCAGTGAAACGACACCGTTTATTGACATCATAAATATTACTCCACTTTGTACGTCATATAAAATATAATTAAATTAAATAAAAAAATATAGTTAAATTGGATAAGTATATTTATGATTTTGTAATTTATCAATATTATATAAATTTGGTTTATAAATATATAACTTTTTGAATTAATAGGTAAATAAACAGTAAAAATTATTAATGAAGTTTTTATAATTGTTAAAATATATAAGACATATTTGTTTGGAGTACTATTTTTTAATAGTGTGTAAAAGGTATAAATTAAAAACACTTTTTTATTTTAAATGTAAGAACGGGTGATTATTTATTGGTAATAAAATTATTATTTTGAAATAGACAGTAAATTATGGCTGTTGAATTAAAAATGAGAAAATTTATGTACTCTATATCACTCAAAAATAGTTAATGAACACAACCATGAAATCCAAATAATAAAATTTAAATATAAAAAGGTAATAATAATAATAATAATACTAATAAACTAAAGAAACCACCAAAAATCATTTGTTTGGTTTTTAGCTTAGTTTAAAATTTGAATTTAAATCTAAATAATATTTTTACATATTGTTTTATTAATATATATATTATATCATATAAATACGAGTTTTGTACGGATCTGCCACTTGAAAAGTCTATCTTGCCTCTCATTTCAAAAATGACAATTTAGCCCTTAACCTACCCTTGTACTGGCTTGAAAAGACGTTTAATACGAGTTTTGTACGGACCTGCCACTTGAAAAGTCTATCTTGCCCCTCATTTCAAAAATGACAATTTAGTCCTTAACCTACCCTTGTACTGGCTTGAAAAGACGAGATTGTACGGGTTTGCCACTTGAAAAGTCTATCATGTCCCTCATCCCATCCTGACCACTTTCTATCTTGAGGACTTCCCGACCTGATCACTTTCCGTCTTGAGGACCTCCCGTCCTGACCACTTCCCGTCTTGAGGACTTCCCGACCTGACCACTTCCCGTCTTGAGGACTTCCCGACCTGACCACTTTCCGTCTTGAGGAACTCCCGACCTCAGGCCGTCCCGACCTGAGGACTTCCGGACCTGACCACTTTCCGTCTTGAGGACTTCCCGACCTAAGGACTTCCCGTCCTGACCACTTTCCGTCTTGAGGACTTCCCGACCTGAGGACGTCCCGACCTGAGGACTTCCCGACCTGAGGACGTCCCGACCTGAGGACTTCCGGACCTGACCACTTTCCGTCTTGAGGACTTCCCGACCTAAGGACTTCCCGTCCTGACCACTTTCCGTCTTGAGGACTTCCTGACCTGAGGACGTCCCGACCTGAGGACTTCCGGACCTGACCACTTTCCGTCTTGAGGACTTCCCGACCTAAGGACTTCCCGTCCTGACCACTTTCCGTCTTGAGGACTTCCCGACCTAAGGACTTCCCGTCCTGACCACTTTCTGTCTTGACCACTTCCCGTCTTGAGGACTTCCCGACCTGACCACTTTCCGTCTTGAGGAACTCCCGACCTGAGGCCGTCCCGACCTGAGGACTTCCGGACCTGACCACTTTCCGTCTTGAGGACTTCTCGACCTAAGGACTTCCCGTCCTGACCACTTTCCGTCTTGAGGACTTCCCGACCTAAGGACTTCCGGACCTGACCACTTTCCTTCTTGAGGACTTCCCGACCTAAGGACTTCCCGTCCTGACCACTTTCCGTCTTGAGGACGTCCCGACCTGACCACTTTCCGTCTTGAGGAAATCCCGACCTGACCACTTTCCGTCTTGAGGAAATCCCGACTTGAGGACTTCCCGACCTAAGGACTTCCCGTCCTGACCACTTTCTGTCTTGAGGACCTCCCGACCTGACCACTTTCCGTCTTGAGGACCTCCCGACCTGAGGACATCCCGACCTGACCACTTTCCGTCTTGAGGATCTCCCGACCTGAGGATATCCCGACCTGAGCGCAAATTTTTCTACTTTTCTGCCCGACTTCGGGTCCTACTTTCGTTCAAGACCCTGCTATCCTTATTTTTATTATTATTATTATTTTTTGTGCGTAACAATTATCAAAGTTGAAATATCCTTGTTATTTTTTACATTTCAAAACTCATAAAGAGATGCAGGGTCACCCTTCTTATCTCAAACATTTCATCTACATTCTCCTCTATTTTATTTTTTATTGGTGTTGATGCAATTTTTCAACAATAAAAAGTAAAATCTGAAAATAAAGTGTTGATGTATTTTTTCAACAGACAAAAAGTAAAATTCAAAGATATGGAAAATATCCTTAAATTTGATTATTTAGCGCATGAGATTAGGAATCTCTAATTCCTCCTTTATTGACACGTGCCTTGCACCGTCTCGCCAGATGCTTCCATCAGTTCCCGAACTCAACTTGCCCGACCGACCATTCCAGAGACCAATTGCTAGACCAGCCGACCTACTTTATCCGACCTGCTGACCATCAAACCTGTCTGTCCGACCTGCTGACCATCAGACCTGCAGACTTCCCGACCTAAGGACTTCCCGACCTGATCACTTTTCGTCTTGACGATCTCCCGATCTGAGGACTTCCCGACCTAAGGACTTCCCGTCCTGACCACTTTCTGTCTTGAGGACTTCCCGACCTGACCACTTTCCGTCTTGAGGACGTCCCGACCTGAGGACTTCCCGACCTGACCACTTTCCGTCTTGAGGACCTCCCGACCTGAGGACTTCCCGACCTGAGCGCAAATTTTTCTACTTTTCTGCCCGACTTCAGGTCCTACCTTCGTTCAAGACCCTGCTACCATTATTTTTATTATTATTATTATTTTTGTACGTAACACCTTAAATTTGATTTTTTAGCGTCTGAAAAATCTATCATGTCCTTCGTAATACACTTACAATTTTTTTTTCTGTATTTTGTAATATTTTTGAAATAATATATAATTAATTATACATCACTTTATGTCATTTGCATAATTTTATTTTAAACAGAATAGATCAAATGCTGAATTTAAAAAATTTCAACACGTGTACTGATGTTTAAAAAGATATTATGTATTATTATTATTTAATTACATAAATTAGAATAATTAAATTTTATGTTAGAGTGCTGAATAATTTTATTTACCATTTGATTCACACCATTCACTTGTTATATAGAATAAACAAAAATATCTTTATTTTATGAAAAAAAAAAGAGTAATTGTATTATATAAAAAAATAAAAAAATTTAGTTATCTCATGAAATTAAAAAAAATAAAATTAAATATTTGTAGAGAAGGACCAAATAAAATAAAATAAATACATTTCTCTAGCGCCCCTTAAGTAAAGAGACCGTTTATACGCACAATAAATAGATCCCTAATTTTTATTTAAAAATAAAAAAATTAAATAAAAAAGACGTATATAGCATCCGTATTGAAGGAAAATTTTGATCTTAGAGTTAGGCAAATGCATTTATGGTTGTAATTAATAATGAATTTTATCTCAAAAAGCGAACAAACCATTACGAGAACCGGGATCTCAGAACCAGATAAATCTACACCATTCGTAATACACGACCCGCTTCGTAACCCGATTCGGCGTCGAGATCCACGGAGTCGTTGAGAAATACTGTGACTCCATTAAAAAACCTACTCGAGGGTTGATGGCGAAGTCAAAGAATAAAAGACAACACAGGCGACTCAGGGAAGGGAGACGTCCGTAATCGAAGCATACTTCGGAATTCCAGACCGGAGGAATCCTACGCCAGTCGATTTTCGGTAGTCTTTGTTCGATTTCAGTAAGAGCTCCGCAACCAGTCGTAGCTGATCGGGATTTCTGCCTTCCTCTGGTAAAAGATTTCTTCCTTTTTTTTTTTTTTTTTTTTTTTGAGAATTTTATGATTTCTTTGTTCTATGATTGAAATTGATTCGCCTGCGGTTGCTTGATTTTATGTACGGCGGAAGTTTTGTGTTAGTTTTATTGTGGAGGTTTCGATATTTCCCCCTTTTTGTTTGGTCTTGGCTTTGGATGTGATAGTAGTGTTCTTTGTTCGTTTTTTTTCTTTGATTTTACTGCGATAGAAATTTGTGTAAATTCGATATGTTGGTATGATCTGAAATTTTGTTGGTGAACATTCGTGAAATTGGATATGTCGGTTTCTACAAAATTTGTAGGACTTTGTATACCTATGTGTGTTATGTGTGTATGGTGTTGGTACATTTACCGTAATCCAATGATGAGTGCAGATAAAATTGCAAGTGCCGTATGACAATTCGTTGAACCAACGAAGTGTTTGATTTGAACTTTCATGGATATCTGAGGATTTACGGTCGCTCTTAATGCCTATGCGATGTTATAATTGACTCTACAGCAGTTTAGGTGTAAAAATATTTGAACCTTCACCATTAACCATCCATTATATTTGAGTTATCGAGTACCAACGCTTTTTCGGATACACATTCAAATGTTCTCGGAGTTTTCCCAAATTTGAATTTTTTTTTTGTTTTTTTTAATTTGATTTTATGGTGTCAATGAAAATCTTCTAATTTTGAAATCCATCTACAATTCATTTTCTTTTGTCAAAATTATTTTTCAAGTTTGCATCCGAGTTCAGCCTTTGATTACTACAAACATTTAATATAATACAAATACTCCCTCCGTCCCACCACAATTGACATTATTTCCATTTTTGTATGTTCCGTAACAATTGACACATTTTTTTTTTTTGTAAAAATTATTAAATCTAAACATATTTAACAAATATAAATATATAAATCAACTTAACATATAACATCATAAATGAAGTAGGACTCACTCAAAACCCTTTTATTTCTATCTCCCTCCTCAAAAAAAATAAATATTTTTATCTATATTTAAAACTACATAAATTTATGTTAATTATAAATAAACAAAAATATTTTTTTATTTATGTATATTATAGAAAATTTTATTCTCTACAAAATAATATTCATATTACATATATTTTTAATTGCTATATATTTTTTAAATATTTAAACATATATTTTGATTTTTTTAAACATATATATTAAATTTACTTTCAAACTATAAATATTATTAATTATATAAAAAATAATATTAGAACTAATTATTATTACCTAATTAAACATCTTTATCTTAAATACCGTGTCCCTAATCAAATGATTCAATTTTGGTTGGATGGAGGGAGTACCAACACTAGCACACAACATACTTTTATACAGTATACTCCTTCCGTTTCGGAACTATAGTCTTGGTTGTGTTGGGCACGAGATTTAAGGAATATTGATATTATATTGATAGTGGGTAGAAAATATAGGTAAAAGACGTTTTTGCTCTTGTAAGTATATTAGTGTAAAAGATAATGACAAATGTTTAATAATAATGAAAGAGTAAGAATAGGTATATAGTGACATGGTTATTTATGGAAATAAAATTATTGTTTTGGGACGAACAAAAATAGTAAACAAGACTATTGTATTAGGACGGAGGGAGTACTAATTATGTTGTGTGTAATAAAAACGTATGTTGTTTGTAGGCCTAGGTCCAAAACATGGAAGGAATTAGATTAGGGTTTTTTTTGCCTTATGTTTTGGTTAAATTTATAATCGGATGTTTCTGTGTATATAATCTTCAATGCAACCAACTGTCTACACAATTAACAATGAGTACATTTTTGTTATAAAAAAAGAATGTGTAGAACTTTGACAATTTACATTTTGATCGACTTTGAAGGTGAAGCACCATGGTAGGATTTAAGAATAGATATATGGTGATGGAGGTTTTCCTGGATCCCAATAAAGATCTTTCGGCGGATGACCCAATTATAATCACTCAATTCAATTTATCGAAAGCCGTCAAAGATAGCATTCTCTCAAACTTTGGGGAATGTGGTCTAGCATCGTCGACAAACTCATTCCAAGGTGAGACTACTTCTTGGGGCCACTTATCCCTTTATCACTGTATGAATTCACTTGTCTGCAATGTGTTGTGTTTGATGCTGCGACTTTGATATCTGCAGTGAAGTATGTGAATCCACTTACAAAACTCTGTATATTCCGAACTTCAAAGGAGGATTACCAGAAAGTATGGGCAGCCGTTACCTTGGTTAGGACTATTGGAAACTGTCCTGTGGTGTTCAACCTTCTTGACCTTAGTGGTAAGCCAATGTCTCTATTCCATTTTATTCTAGTTCTTGGCTTCCAACCTTTTCGAAACTAAAAGTTTTCCGTATATGGGTGTTTAATTATATGGGCAACTCATAATATGCTACATTGATTTGATGGTTCTGATGTTGATCAGATATGGTCTATGTTGATCAGATTTGTTTGTTTGAGGGTTTGGATTTGGATTTTTGAAATTGAAAATTTTGATTTGATATAAATAAGTGTTCGATATTATGTTTTGAATATAAAATTGATTTTTGGTATAATATAAAAAATGAAAAATAGGGGTTTGATTTGATGTATTTTTGAGAAGAAGATTATTTGAATAGTGAAAATCTCAAAAAATCCACAAAAGAACACAACCATAATGTTTTCAGCCACAAATTTTCAATTCATGTGAGGTTGATGCATTCTTCATGTGTTAGTTTTAGTGAGGTCAAAATTCCACGGCATGGCCATTGTTGTTTTTGTATTTGGGAAATTTATTGCCTCGATGTTAGGAATTGCATAACAAGAAAAGTGAATCTGAGTTGTGTTTTTAAACTCCTAAGTTCCAGCTTTCTAATTTTACATGAAATGTGTTTCTTGGAATTCTCGGTGTTTGCGGGTTCTAGGGTTTATTGTTATTATTAATTTTCTGATCTTGGAAGTTTCTAAGCTTGCTGTGTCTTACGATATGATCCTATGCTTTTGTTTCGACAATTTTCTTATATGTTCATTCTTGTTGTTAGGAAGCATCAAGGCTTGCAAAACTGCTGCGTTGAAGTGTGATGAGATGAAATTCGAACAATATAAATTATCAGCCGCAGATCGCCTCCCTGCTGATGCCCACCAAAGAATGCAAAACTTTCTTGAGAAGATAAAACACTTGGAGCATTAAAACCAAATGGATCGAAGAATTTAAGCAGCCTCTGGTATGCAACATAAAACAATTTTCTTGATTCAATTCAACAATCCTCTTGCGTGTTCGAATAATGACAGGAATCTCCAATTACAGTTTCGTAGCATCTTCTCACACAGGAGCCGGGCTTTTGCCAAACAGATGGATATTTTGCGGATCAAACAGCGCAGAATCATACTGGTAAGTGCTCCGTTAGTCAAGATTAATTTCTTTAAATCCCTTGTCACTACGCTTACAAAAATGTTATCTTTCCAAGCACATGATACCCTAAATTGCCCTCTCTTTGTTGTCTCCTCGGACAAAACACAAGATCCGAGTATTGCCTTAAATCCGTTAATGGAAGGCTTCTTCTCCATCGGACAAAAATCTTGTAGTGAGGCGATTTCGAAGAATTAAACACTAAATCGACCCCCAAAAATTTTGCTGTGTATTCGACTGCCAGTAAGGTTAATAGGCTTCGGTTGTTGGAATTTTGTTAACGTATCGACTCTTTTCGGGGTTGATCTGATTAGAGCATTAGCAGGCCATTGCATCGTACCAATTTGAATCTGAGTAGAGATATTATTGCAGGCAACAGCCAGACGAGTTCTGTCGAGCGAAACTTTGGTAATTCATATATGTATGTTTTAGTGGTTTTTGGAATAGAACAGATGTTTTAAGTGATTTATGATTGTTTAAGGATTCTTTTTTTATGTTTATATCTGTTCCATCTAAATTATTGCAAAGTGTTAATTTTTATTAGATTAAGTGGTGAATAAAATATTACTCTCCTGAAATACTTCATTTGGTTTATATATATATAATAAGGGAAAATAGTACTTTTCTTATAGTTTGACAAAAATAAACAATATTTCGAAACACAAAAAATATTGTGCTCAAGTATTTAAAAAATGGAGTGAGTAGTTGGATTTCCTGCGATGCACGTCGCGGCCAAAAGTTGCAAATGATGACCGTCGTTCACGAATCTGTCGTTCAGCCGTATATTGTGAACGGGGATTCACACACGAGTGTCGGCGAACCTGCGAAAGGATCATTGTCGATGTCTGTCCCGGCAGACAACAGCGAATTCGTGACCCGACGTACGAATGCCCGACAGACAACAGCGAATTCGTGACCCGACGTACGAATGCCCGACAGACAACAGCGAATTCGTGACCCGACGTACGAATGCCAGTCAGGCCGTCCATCGAGACAGAGTGGGCGCCCTTAAAAACTCCTGCGCGGATTTTCGCGAATATGTAGGCAGCAAAATGGATTTCCTGCGATGCACGTGATGACCAAAAGTCGTGAACGACGACCTTGTCCGCCGTTCACGGATCCGTTGTCCGATCGTATATTGCGAACGAGGATTCGTGCACGGGCGCCGACGAACCCGCGTCAACGCGAGAAGACCAGTAAGCCTTATCGTTTAGAGAAAAGAGAACACATAACAAGGATGCTATAGGCGAATTTGCGAAAGGATCATTGTCGATGTCTGTCCCGGCAGACAACAGCGAATTCGTGACCCGACGAACGAATGCCGGTTAGGCCGTCCATCGAGACAGAGTGGGCGCCCCTAAAAACTCCTGCGCGGATTTTCGCGAATATGTAGGCAGCAAAAATGGATTTCCTGCGATGCACGTTGTGACCAAAGTCGCGAACGACGACCTTGTCCGCCGTTCACGGACCCGTCGTCCGACCGTATATTGCGAACGAGGATTCGCGCACGGGCGCCGACGAACCCGCGCAATGCGAGAAGACCAGTAAGCCTTATCGTTTAGAGAAAAGAGAACACGTAACAATGATTCTATAGGCGAATCTTCGAAAGGATCATTGTCGATGTCGGTCCCGGCAGGCAACAGCGAATTCGAGACCCGACATACGAATGACGGTCAGTTTGTCCATCGAGACAGAGTGGGCACCCAAAAAAACTCCTTTGTGGATTTTCGCGAATATGTATCAGCAAAAATGGATTTCCTGCGATGCACGTTGCGGCCAAAGGTTGCGATTTGTGAAATAAAAAATTACAAAATTGCAGAAAAATTTTGCTTCGAAAGTTTGTCAAAATTTTTATTATTAATTAATTATATTTTTTAAAAAAATATCAAATCAAATATACATAATTTTTTTATATTATAATTAAAAATAAATTTTATATTCAAAATATCAATAATATCTTTATTCAAATCACTGACTCAAAATAAAAGGCCCAAGCAAATCCACCCTGAATCTAACAGCCGCCGCAGCCCTAAAACAAACCTAAAAATAAAACCCTAAATCAACCGCCCGGCGCCGCCGCCCTAAAACAACCCTAAAGAAACACCACGCACAGCCCCAAAACCCTAAATCAACCGCCCACCGCCGCTCCTCTTCCACATCCTCTCTTATTAAATCTTTGTTCTACCTCTCTACTCATTCCTCCTCTCTTCTCTCCCTTCTTTTTTTTTTTTTTTTTGTTTTATCCGTCTTCGTTTTCTCCGGTTTCGGCTTCGTCTTCATCGTCCCCTCCGACGTCGCCGTCGTCTTTGTCCGGCCGTCGTCTGCCATCCGCTTGCTGTAAGGTTCGACTTCTCCTCTCCTTCTTCCTCTTCTTCGGCGGTTGTGTCATTTTGTGAAACGTACAAATAGTTTATTTAATTTTTTCTTTTGGGCTTATCTGAGAACCCCTGGGATTTTGATGATTGTGTTCATCCGTAACTGGTGTGTTAGAATGAAGTGATGACTAATAAAGATGGATTGATAGCCCATATGATGGCTGTTTATCATGTATTAGCTCTACCTGATCATTCTTATCGCCCCTTTGTTACATTTGGATTTGGATTTTTTGATTGAACTTGAAGTATCTGTCTTCTTTCTCTTGCGCCTGGTGGATTTTGAATCTTATTATATCCGGCTAGGTGATATTTTATTTTTTATTTTTTTATTTTTTTATTTTTTGTAATTGATTGTTTTGTAATTTCAGTTCTTCTACAAAATTTGTAGGACTTTGTATACGTATGTGTGTTATGTGTGTATGGTGTTGGTACATTTACCGTAATCCAATGATGAGTGCAGATAAAATTGCAAGTGCCGTATGACAATTCGTTGAACCAACGAAGTGTTTGATTTGAACTTTCATGGATATCTGAGGATTTACGGTCGCTCTTAATGCCTATGCGATGTTATAATTGACTCTACAGCAGTTTAGGTGTAAAACATGTTAAGAATGCAAAACATGTTACAATGACATTTGTAATCGATGTAGGATTCAATGCAGCCACAAGAAATTCAATCGATTCTATGAATGATAAAAAAGTCAAAAGAAGACATTTCGACAATGATACACACCTCTCAAATAATGGATTGAAAAAATTGTATTTCAAAAGAGGTTAAATTTCTTCTGTCGAAACAAAGACAATTAACATCAAAGTAAGGAAACAAGAATCTTATTCCACGCGAAACCTCATTATAACAGAGAATGTCAAATGTTGTAGAACATAAACTCGGGTAGTTATCCCGACCTGCTGACCATCAGACCTGCAGACTTCCCGACCTAAGGACTTCCCGACCTGATCACTTTTCGTCTTGACGATCTCCCGATCTGAGGACTTCCCGACCTAAGGACTTCCCGTCCTGACCACTTTCTGTCTTGAGGACTTCCCGACCTGACCACTTTCAAAATTCAAAGATATGGAAAATATCCTTAAATTTGATTATTTAGCGCATGAGATTAGGAATCTCTAATTCCTCCTTTATTGACACGTGCCTTGCACCGTCTCGCCAGATGCTTCCATCAGTTCCCGAACTCAACTTGCCCGACCGACCATTCCAGAGACCAATTGCTAGACCAGCCGACCTACTTTATCCGACCTGCTGACCATCAAACATGTCTGTCCGACCTGCTGACCATCAGACCTGCAGACTTCCCGACCTAAGGACTTCCCGACCTGATCACTTTTCGTCTTGACGATCTCCCGATCTGAGGACTTCCCGACCTAAGGACTTCCCGTCCTGACCACTTTCTGTCTTGAGGACTTCCCGACCTGACCACTTTTCGTCTTGAGGACGTCCCGACCTGAGGACTTCCCGACCTGACCACTTTCCGTCTTGAGGACCTCCCGACCTGAGGACTTCCCGACCTGAGCGCAAATTTTTCTACTTTTCTGCCCGACTTCAGGTCCTACCTTCGTTCAAGACCCTGCTACCATTATTTTTATTATTATTATTATTTTTGTACGTAACACCTTAAATTTGATTTTTTAGCGTCTGAAAAGTCTATCCTGTCCTTCGTTTCCAAAATAACAATTTCCCGTCCGTTTGTACTAGCTTCAAAAGACGAGCTTGTACGGATGTGTCACTTGAAATGTCTATCCTGCCCCTTATTTCGAAAATAACAATTTAGCCCTTCAACCTACCTCTGTACTGATTTGCTTATCGACAACCCCTTCACAACTGTCTATTCACACACCCACTTGCTCTGCTCTTCCGCTTACCTCCTGAAATCGCAGGTCAGGCCGCCGTTCTTGGCGTCCAGCCACGCCTTTCTGTATCATCATCTTCATCACAATGTAGTTTTCCTAAACAGTTGGGCTTTCCCGTGTGTAATCTGTGTTGTTGTGAACCAGAAGCGCAATTTTGATTCGCCATCGAAAGTACAGATCTCTGCCTCAACCACTTTTAGTGTAAGTTTTGACTCGTTTTTGCTTCCGTAGAATTTACTTACTGCTATTGTTGGCGTCTTTTAAAAGAAGGGCTATTTTTATTCTGTTTTGTCAACGTTTTAATTCTTACCCACTGAATTTGGGAAGAATAAGAGCCACAACTTATTGCATGATCTTTCGGGCAGCTGGAATACGAGGCTTACGGTAGAATTGGTTCTATTTTTTCTGGACTATGATGTCATATTTCAATATGTTATGATGCAAATGGCCCTAAGAATTGCTCTCTGACCTTATAAATTGCATTCTATGTAAACTATTGGACTTAGAGTAGCATATTTATTTTTACGACTTATTCGGCAATAACGTTGATAAATTTGCTCTTTGTTATTTCTGATTTTCATATTCAGGGCTCTTGATTGTGGAAGAAATGGTCAAAACATAGAGTAATCTTGTGCAAAAAAAAGGTATATTTTCTGTTTAAACATGCTTGTTTTTCCCCAGTTAAATTTTATAGTGCAAAGAAATTATCTTTATATCTCATTGTTATTGAATTATTTGAGAAAGTTTTGTTTTTACCACGAAAAAAATGGATTAAACATGTTTACTAATTTTCTATAGTTGACTTTAAAAGTAAAGCTAATGTATTAGTTGATTTGGGTATTAAAACTTGTATGTTGTTATCAATTTATATTTACTTTGTCGGGCATAAGTAACCTTCTTATTTACTTTTTTTTTTCGTTTTGTGTCTTTTACTTTTCTCAAATTCTTATTATTTATTTGTTTTCTACCTACAACTACTTTTTACAGCCCATGACACAATCTCAGTCATTGCAATGTATTAGACGTCGGCAACAAACATGTGATCGCCGATCAGCTAACCAAACAACTAATAGTCAGCCGGTTAACCAAACATGTATGCACATTCTGTCTTCTACTTTCGGTTTTTAGTTTATTAAATTTTTAAATGTTGTTACTTTACTTAATTTATTATGTATCTTCGTATCTATTGAAACTTTACTCATCTTGCCAGCATGCTCTCCACTACTACGATTGTCTGCCATTTATGTGTCGCCTTGGGTAGCACCCCAACCGACAAAATGTCGTTACTGTGGTGCATTATTATTCCACCGTGAGCATAAAACCCTATGTTGTGCTGGTGGGAAGTTTTCCTTACCGCTATTGGACATGCCACCTCCTTTGCAAGACCTTTTCCTTAATCGCCATGAACTATCATCTCATTTTCGTACCTATGTTAGAACTTATAATAACTCTTTTGCTTTCTCTACATTAGGAGTTCACTATGACGTATCTTTATGTAATAATGATCACAACTTATATATATTTCGTGTTAACAATACAATTCACCATTTCATTAACTCATTACTTCCCTCAACAAATGTACCGAGAAACCTGCAACTTTATTACTATGATCCTACACAAGAGCTTGCCACACGTTTGAGTAATTACCCTACTTTACATCCATCTATTGTTACAATCTTGATTGAGTTGTCTCATCTGAACCCTTATGCAAGTTTATTCCGTCAATTGTATACAATGCCTTGTCTTGATAACTATAAAATATTTCTAAAAACCTTCAATCGATTAGATCGAAGAGTGTATAATCTTCCACGGGTTGATGATATATCAATTATATGGCAAGATGGGTCTTCAGATTGTCCCCAATTATCTAGAGAGATACAAGTATATCCGGTTGATGGTTCTGTGAAAAAGGTTGATTATTATTCTTATGCCTATGATCCTGTTCAATATCCATTGATCCATCCTTTTGGCCAGTCAGGTTGGTATCCCGGCATTCTCAAAAGTTCTGCTACATCTTCGTCTTCCTCTACACAGTCCACACCTAATTTATCAGCAGAGTCGTTTCATACTGAACAAGTTGACCTATCAATAAATAGCTCCTCAGATTACAGTATGCAATTAGGACGTAATAAACGCCGGATGGACAAGAGTCATGTCTCTATTAGAGAATACTATGCATGTCGCCTCCAAATACGGCCTACAAGTCCTACTTTACTATTACATACTGGTCGTTTGTTACAACAATATATAACTGACCAGTACATAAAAATAGAAACTCAAAGGCTAGATTTTTTCAGGTCTGAACAAGTGCAAAAACAACACCGTCACGACACCATGCAGGGTATTCTAGACGCTTTTAACCAATCCCAACATGAACCGTTATCTATGATTGGACAACCAGTTGTCCTTCCATCTTCTTTCATTGGTGGTCCCCGTGACATGCAACAAAGATATATGAATGCTATGGCTCTTGTACAAGAATTTGGTAAGCCTGATTTTTTCCTTACAATCACTTGTAATCCACAATGGCCAGAGATTCAAGAACTCTTAGAACCATTTGAATTATCAACTGATAGACCTGACATTGTTGCTCGTGTGTTTAGAATGAAACTAGAAGAACTAAAAAACGAACTTTTCAAACAACACTTGCTAGGTAAAGTGCAGGCGTATTCATATGTCATTGAGTTTCAAAAAGAGGATTGCCACATGCCCATATGTTACTTATCATGTATCCACAATTTAAATTACACAACCCCACAAGCTACGACAAATTTATATCTGCAGAACTTCCTAATAGTAACTTAAACCCCTACTTATTGCAACTCGTTTTGAAACATATGATGCATGGTCCTTGTGGCTCTCAAAACCCAACTAATGTGTGCATGGTTGATGGACAATGTAAGAATCATTACCCAAAGGAATTTGTGGATGAAACAATTCATACTCCAAATGGATATCCTAAGTATAAAAGACAAAATAATGGCATTTTTGTTATTGTGCGTGGACGTACTTTGGACAACCGTTGGGTGGTACCATATAATCCATATTTACTTGCTAAGTTTGATTGTCATATAAACTTGGAAGTATGCTCGAGTGTCAAACTTGTAAAATATCTCTACAAATATGTGTATAAAGGTCATGATCGGGTTGCCTATACTGTGGGCTCAGTAACACCCGACACACCTCGTGATGAGATTATTGATTTCCAAACTGGCCGTTGGGTTGCTCCACCTGAAGCTTGTTGGCGTATTTTTGCATTCCCCTTGACAGATATGCACCCTCCTGTACTTGCTCTGCAATTGCATTTACCTAATTTTCAGTACACTTCATTCAAAGTAACAGACTCTTTACAAGATGTTGTAACAAATGCACGTGCCCACAAAACTATGCTTACTGAATTCTTTGTCATGAATGCAACCAACGCATATGCCAAGGCACTTAATCTACTTTACAAAGAGTTCCCAAAACATTTCGTATGGGATCGGGCACACAATAATTGGAATTTTCGCAAACAAGGTTCAATAGTAGGGAGGATTGTTACAGCAAGGCCAACTGACCAAGAAAGATATTTTCTTCGCCTTCTTTTGCAGTACCGTCGTGCTCCTGTATCATACGAGGACTTAAGAACAGTTGATGGTGTTATACATGATTCATTTAGAAATGCATGCGTCGCGTTAGGATTATTAGAGAGTGATATTCCATTGGTGGATTGTTTGCGAGAAGCTGCACTTTTTCAAATGCCCCATGCTTTTGCACAATTATTTGCTACCATACTTGTTTTTTGTACACCATCTGAACCTATACAACTATGGGAGATGTTCAAACAATATTGTGTCCCAATTACCACAATCTCGTCTTCATTTCCACTTTTTCCTATTGATCGTGCTGCTGCCATAATTGTAGAAAAATTCCTTGAACCATTTGGTATGCATATTCATGACTTTGGAATATGCATGCCCGAACAGTCCGAAAATGGCCTAATTGAAATAACTTCACAACAGCCATCGCCTGCAGAATTTAACCTGGTCACACTCCCAGGAATTATTGACAAACTTAATTTACAACAACATTTCGTCTTTAACACTATTATTGAGAAACTGCATAACAAGAAACCTTATGTCTGTTTTGTTGATGGACCAGCTGGTACTGGGAAAACTTTCTTATACACTGCTATTTTGTCATACACATCTGATCATACCATTAAATCTATTGCTGTAGCAACATCTGGAGTTGCTGCATCGCTCCTTCCTAATGGCCAAACTGCCCACTCAAAATTCAAATTGCCATTGGATATTAATGAGCATAAGACTTGTCAGATAAGCAAACAGTCTACCTTAGCAAATGAGTTACGACATACCGACCTAATTATTTGGGATGAAATTTCAATGGCAAGACGTGAACTAATTGAGGCTTTTGACATTACTATGAGAGATATTATGGATAACAACATCAGTTTTGGTGGTAAAGTTATAATCTTCGGGGGGCATTTCCGTCAAATTACTCCTGTCATAAGAGACGGAACAAAGGACCAGTACATCGAAGCAAGTTGTGTATCGTCTCCTCTATTTACACATGCAGATAAGTTTCACTTAACTGTCAACATGCGAGCACAAAACGATAAATCATTTGCAGCATTTCTTGAGGAAGTAGGGAACAACTCTTGTGTAAATAACAACAAAGGAGAGATTCAGATCCCAACAACTTCATTGATTACCTCTGAAAATAATGACTTGTTGCAACTAATTGACAAGATCTACCCACATAATTTACTCCATCCAAGTTCCTCTGCTGCATTAATTGGTAGATCTATATTGACACCAACCAACGAGACAGTTGATACTATTAACAATCAAATAATTGAAAGCATGTTTGGAGAACCAATCGTACTAATTGCAAGAGATGTAACTAAAGATCCATCACAACAAGCACATTATGAAGATTACCTAAATACTTTGACACCTAATGGTATGCCACCTCATAGATTAGTTTTGAAGACAGGTGCACCAATAATGCTATTGCGTAACTTAGACCCCACAAATGGCCTTTCAAATGGTACACGGCTTGTTTGCAAGCAAATTACACGCAATCTCTTACAAGCAGAGATTGCAACTGGCCCGCAAAAAGGAACTTTATGCTTCATACCACGAATACCTTTAAAGCCTAACAATATACATGAATGCTCTGTTGAGTTCATACGTACTCAATTTCCAGTGAAGTTGTGCTTCTCAATGACCATTAACAAATCACAAGGGCAGACATTAGACGTTGTTGGAGTGTACATGAAACAACCGGTATTTATGCATGGCCAACTATATGTTGCACTATCACGAGCAAAATCTTTTGACTCTTTGCATGTCCTCATTCCTTCAGACATCAACACTGGAATGCATTGTTCTTGGACGAGAAACATAGTTTACAAGAAGCTTTTACAATTGGCTGGCATTAATATACCTCCACTTCCAAATCCCACATAGTCCGCATCCATAAGAGCCCACCTGCTACCCTTACTCCCACATTATTGTCAACAATCTATTTCTTTTTTATTCAGTTTTTGCCTTTTTTGGTCACATCTCATGCCGTCTTTAGTTTGTTTCGGGTGATTTTTCATGGATTATATTTTTATGGAGGCTTAAATCAAACATGGTAAGTTCTCTAATATTTTTATGATACACTTAATTTTGTTAGTGTGAGTTACAGTTATGCTGCATTTATTTATTCATGAATCTTCTATTTCTGTCAGAATTTTCAGTCCTGCTTTTTCCTACTGTTTGATGCAAGCTGATTTTTAGCTATTTATATTGTTATGCATCTATGGTTTTTTCATGTAGCATATATGTAAACTGACTTTCTATCATCTGCACCTTATGTACGTATATTATCTCTTATAGATTGCTCTCCTATTTGTTGTCAGATGTCAACACTTTGAGTTTGTTATACCTCTGACAAAATATGTGAAGGCTATATACCACACCAAAGTAGGAGATGGCATGCGCTTTCAGAAGCTATTTGAAACTAAAGAATCCAGTGTTCATAACTACGTTGGACATTCATTGCAGTTTATATTATATTATTGCGTTTCAAATTAGGTAATGATCTTCTATTTAATTCTTCAGCTTTGATCCAAACATTTTCGAACATCTAAGATCAGAATTGAGCATCGAAGATCCTGCTAAGATATAGTATCAACCGGTAATTTATCAAAGAAATCAACAATAGTTTCAATCTAAATTCGTATTGTAGTGGTGATCAAACTTGTCATTACATGACATTTTTTATCGTGATTCCAATTTCCCTTCGTAACGAGATTGTTCCCCTTAATGTTAACAATCAATAATTTATGCACTATGTTTGCTTTCAAATGACTATACAGTAAACATTTTTTTTTATATTGTGTTATGTATTGATTTATTTAGCAATATGGAAATTATATTTCAATCTTCCTAAGCTAATCTTCTTTGTAAATGTCCTGCTTATCACCTGCTATTGGACAATGTTGTACAGGAAATGCTGGGAATGAATCAATCCATATACACAGCCATAGATGTTTCAAAGTCCATTAATGGTTTAGAGATCAAGTATGTGGATATATTACCATTGTTGTTTGCCAGCACTAATCTCTAGATTAATGGGAGATAACTGCCTACAGTACCGGATTTCAGGCAGAAGATTCTTGCTGCCAACAGCATACTCTTTGCTAAACTGGAATACATATACTTAACGACAGAAAACTTTTATTTACATATATGATGCATATGCTGTTCCATTACAGCCTTACATTAATTTAGTCCAGACTTATTTGGTATACAACAAAGTCTAATGTGGTCTTAATGCCTAGAACCATTTCATCTCAACATGATTTTTGTATGATAGAATAAAATCGATTCTACAGCTGCAACTCCAAAAATTCTGGGGGCAAGATTTTTAGTGCAACATCACTTTCATAATGATGAAACATGCATTATCTCATCAGCTTCATCCTTGTTAAGATTAATATTGAATGATTACAACTGATATCTTTGTTTTTATATACTGTGTTATCACCTCTGCGTCTATGTGTTTTTTATCCCCGCTCAGTGTGTCAAAGTTTTTTAACGATTTTTATGCAACAATTTCGTCATTTTTGAACAAGTAGAATCCGACTGAAGAAAAGATTATAACCTGTTATGTTTTTCAACATAGAAAGTTTCGCTCGTGTGCCTATTCCCTAATGCAAGGTATGTTGCCCTGAATAAGTCTAAAAGTAGATAATCACCACTTTCCTATTCAATAAGCAAGCATTTACCACTCAATACCCTAACAAATACTAATAACAGAAAACATTTACAATCCAAAACCAAAATCAATTGACCAACTTAGAGATAATAATTAACCATAACAAAATAATAACGTGATAATAATTAAAATAACTACCATTTCAAGCCGTGCTATGCACGAGTGCATACATAATTAAAATATTTAGAAATGAATTAATCAACTATTAATCATAACTATTTCTAAAATAGTATTATATCATACATGTATATTTAAATGTTAATTTTTATTTGACAATAATTAAAATAATTAACTATATTTATTATTCAACTATTGAAATAAAATAAAAATAAAAATATAAAATACAAAATTAATTTTAATTGAATCTATCATTGAAATTTGTACTCAATTAATAAATATATAAATTTAATTTCAAACAATATATAATGAACAATATTATATTATCCAATATCTTTATATAAGATAAAATAAATAAAAAGTAAAATAAAAATTATAGAGAAGAAATATAAAATATAATTATTATTGAGCATAAAAAAAAATAATAATAGTAATAAATAATGGCAGTAGGATGCTGGATCGGTCAGGATATAAACCGAATGGCCCAAAAGTCCGGAAAAAAAATGTCGAACAGCCGCAGATGTCTATGAAGAGGAAGGTCGGGCAAGGAAGAAGTATAGACAGACGCAGAGGTTTGTGTAGAGGACAGTCTGCCCATCTAAGGAGATAGGACAAATAAAGCTGGTCGGTTGCTCAGTAGCCGGGACCGCAGTCGGTTGCCCTGTGTAGGGGCCCACAGTTCCTTGGTCAGCCAACACTTCTCGTGTTCACACGTGTCCTCATCCGACCACATTGTCATTCTCACTTTCTTCAATATCTAACTCTCTGGACCGACCGCAGACTTTCCGCTTTATTGATCCAACTGCAAGCCAACTGACTTACAAACTCCCCGACCTCAGTAATTCCCGACCTGATGACCTTCCCACCTACGGACTTACCGTCCCGACGACCGTCGGACCGCAGGATTTCCCGACCTGGGGACCTCAAGACGTGGGATCTTCCGACCTGAGCACTTACGGAGTTGCAGAGCTCAGGCCTGCGTATCTCCAGACCGGATGACCTCCCGACCGGAAGACATTCCGACCTCCAAACGTCCCGACGTGGGGATTTTCCGACCTCCGAACTTCCCGACTTCCGGACCTCCCGACGTGAGGACCTTCCGCCTTGTGAACCTCTCGACCTGAGGACCTGTCCGACCCGCAATTCCATTAGAAATATATCTCTACTATTCCTGAGTTTCCAACAGGGCCCCTCCGCCAGTTTCATCAAGTGTATTCGTACACACATTTTTCTTTTTATCCTAAGCTTTTTAACATAAATAAAATTTTCATATGTAACAATTTTAGTATTCTACATTACTTAGAAAGCCCTAATCTCAGGGAGATATTTCTCTATTTTCCAATTTTACTTTTTGTTGTTGAAAAACTGCGTCAACAGTTATATTATTTAATATACCTGTTGATGCGTTTTTTTTTTAACAATAAAAAATAAAATCCGAAAATAGGAAGTTATCTTCGAATTTGATATAATTACTGCCTGAGATTAGGAATCTCTAAACACTGTAGGATACATAAATAAAATAAGAAAAATTAAAACTATAGACTGGAAAATAAAGTGGTGATCCCCAAAAGCAATTCTCTTGAATTTGATGTCGTTTGAAGATGCCCTCTCCTTACCGTACAGAATATTTAAATAACCCCTTGAAGATACGGTTCGAACCGCTATCCGGTCGGTTACCATAACCGCTATTAACTCCCCAAAAAATCCTCTTCTATCGACACATACGAGAACCATCACGTCACGTCCGATTTTAAAAACCGCTCACCAGTCGAAACTACCCCCTACTGCCAGAAATTGCATTTTACCCGACCTATAGGATAACTATTTTTGAATACCTAACCTTCCTATGACCGACCATTTGGAATTTGTCCCGACTAAGTCCGACTTCTATATCCAATCTATTTGGTCCTGACCAGGTCCAATCTTATCAACCGTCCTACTTTCTTCAATCTGACCCTCGGATTCCGACCTGATTACGTCCGATTTAGACGTGCGAACTATTTGGTCCCGAGCGAGTCCAATCTCCTCATTCGCCGGACCTAGGGGATTCACACGACCGGTTTTGGACAAATTCAAAACTCATCCAACCTGGTTACTGCAAATTATATTCGGACTTTCAAAAGCCCATTGGACATTTCGGATGACCTAATCTTGCCAGGCCCATTTCCTAAAACCTATCCATTATTTTCTGCTCAACAAATTGCCTCCTCCCGCCGAAACGTCACTCCTCGAACTACGGAAGACGTGACGTTTTAGGGTTACAATATGATCATTGCACTGCGCTGCGTCAAATCAAAGGGTTTATGTTAAACCCCACTTCAACTTCTCAAACTTACACATTCACAATTCTGAAACCCTTTCTGCACTCGTATAACTCCCTCCTTCGTTTTCTCCTTCAACCTTTCCTTACCCTCGCGTAAATGGCTAACCAATACGTTCTTGCACTCCCTTTTGACGGAACCGAACCCTCAATACCCCTTGTATCTTCCAAAGTTCTTACCCCTACAATCCGCCCTTACTGCACTACCACTCCCGATGCTGAGCGTATGACTTCAGTCATTGTTCAAGTTTCTCCCATTACCGTGAACAATGAAGCGTTCAAACCGGAACGCCTTCTAGATAGCATCAAGACTCACTTGACCGACCCAAAAGATGCTTACCGGAAATGGTACGCGAGGCTCCTTCCACATTTTGAAAATCAATGGAAAGCCCAAGGGATCGATAAAGCTATTCTCCTTTCGACGCAACCCCTTTACCTCCATGACAAGGTTTTGATGGCCATGGCGGCTTTTTGGCATTCGCAAACAGGTGCCTTTTTCCTCCCTTCAGGTCCAATGGGTCCAACCCTAATGGATGTAGCAGTGATCGCACATTTGCCGATCACTGGAGAGGACCCCGTTCTGGTTTCTCTCGGGAATCAAGAACTTCCCCCCAACCATCAAGGTTGGGCTCTGGCCAAACTGCCTAAAAGAGAAAGAGGGTGGACATACTTTGTCAATAAATATCAGGGTAAGGAGGATACCCCTGTTTCCGAGTTGGAACATACTGCTTTCCTCCTCTTCTGGCTCTGCAGGTATATTTTCTTCCCCATTTTTAAACCTCTTTGATATACACAAAGTTTGAATGTTGAGCTTACATTTCTTTCTTCTTATCTTTCACAGATATATCATTCTCTCCCCTTCTAAACTTGTCCTTTCAACTCATATTGACCTAGCCATTTATCTAGCATGTGGTCATTTCTGTTCTTTAGGGACCTTATTTCTAGCCAACCTCTTTGAAGGTTTATCCCGAGTAAGTTCCCGTCTTACAGATATCAAAAAGGCGGATACTGCAGCCTCAGGACCATTTTGGTTCCTGGAACTGTGGTTCCGTCTATACTTCCCCTCTGCATTTTTTGGTCGCCTCCCAATTTCTCCTAACCCTTATAGGTCTATTGGCTATGCCTTAGCCAGATTAACCCCGAACTCTTCCTGTCTAAAATCCTCCGACTCTATAATAACCCAAATTTTGACCGAAGATCGGAACAATTCCCGGTTTTTTGTATATACAACCTTAATACAATATTCGACCGATCTTTTCTTCCTTTATCCCGACCCTACCTATCCTTTAACTCGCCCAGATCCTCTCCCTCACCCGACCTTTATTTTTTCCTGGGACGCCGCAATAAAACCCCGATCTTTGTTTTCTAGCAGAAGGTCGGACAAGAAGAATCGTAGAACATTTTTCACTTACAATTACCAACCTCAATTTTTGTCGAGGCAATTTGGTTGCTGCCAGGGCATACCAGGGCCATTAGCCAGTCCTCACCTCATATTTCAAAGCCCCGAGGGTCTGGTGATTCCCGAACTCATCCCGACCTATATTTCTCAACTCACCACCTACATCACCTCGAATTCATATCTCCCGTTCTGCCCAAAACCTTCGACAACCGAAGATTTCCCTTCCTGGTGGTCGACCACCTGGTCTTTACTTGCCCCTTCGACTGACCAATTGGTCGGGAGACTTGCCCCACCCCCAGCTCTGGCTCTTGGCTCCGCCCGACTGGCAGTCAGAGGAAGGAAAAGGCCAGACCCTACGGCAGGTGGGTCGGGAGCAAAAAGACAAAAAGCAAAGGCCACTCCTGCTATCGATAGGCAGGCCATCGAGGAATATCTGGCTTCTCTGCCAATAGATACTAGCGGGATGCCAAAGTATCTAAGGCAACAATTTGGTAAGTTTTTGTTCCTTTCCTTATGTTATTTTCATGCTGCCCGTTTGTAACTCTAATATGTCTATTTCAGAAGATCCTTCAATGCTCCCGACCACTGGCCCTACCACGTCTCAACCGACCCACCAACAATCGCCCGAACCACAAGTTCCCATCAATTTATCTTCATCCCGATCGACAGCCGTCCCGATCATAGAACAATCATCTATGGTCCGGACCACCGATCGACTAGCCATAGTCCCGATTACCACACAACCGACCCACAGACAATCAGAGGTAAAAGATAGTTTCTGACATTCCTTAAAGACCAACAAAATATATTAATTTTAAACAACAACTTCGAACCTTTTATTGTAGGCACACCGACCAGGCGAATCGATGGGCAGGGTACCTCCCCCCGCAACGTCGGATATCGTTGCGGTGATGCCCGACCAACTTGTTGTCCTCCCCGACCAAGTTGCGGAACCTCAACAAGTAAGCGCTAAACCTTCCTTCAACAACATCCTCCTGATAAAACTTATGATACCTAAAACATATTTGGTCCAGGCTCCTATTGAAGATGTGGTAGTGCCCGACCCCGACCAGGTCGTGGCTTTACCCGACCCGCTTGTTCAGCAAGTTGATGAGGTTTCTATTGTTGGTCCCGAACCAGTCCAACCCGAACCAGTCCAACCACCCGATGAAGTAGAGGAAATTTCCTCCTCAAGATCGGGTGAAGCTTCTGTTAATTTTGCCCCGCTGAATCCGGTTGGTACCCTTTCTCATCCATTTTCGGATTTTATTTTTGCCCATCCAACGGTGACGAAAACTTTTATCTTCTGTTCAGGGTATGGATTTAGCAGCCGCCCAACAACTTCCACCAGGGGATGAATCAGTTGCTGGTCCGATTACCCGACCAGTCAACCCCTCAAATTTCCAACTTATGGCCCCTTCCGAGACTACAGCTGCCCTGGATCAAGTAACCTTCCGCCGTTATTCCTTAAACAATTTTGCCATGTCTTTTAGCTTGCTAATCTCATTCTGGTTCAGGCTGCTCAGGAGATGAACATTTTGACCCGAATAAATCTCCCGACACACGTCAGAACCATTGTGGAACGATGCGCCAATTTGGACTTTGCCGACTTAGAACTGGCTGACCTTTCGGCGTTAGTCCAAGTCGCAATATCCCTATTGGTTCAACCTGCCCTGGAGTCGGGAGCTTCACCAGTTCTCGATCGGATGATGGCCAGGATCACTGAACCTCAAGCTGAACTTCCTCTGATCCGACCCCCATTATCCGAAGCGACCTCCTCTCGTCCGGCAGCAGATCCTAATAATATCGAAGCAGATTTGAAGAAGGCTAACCAAGATCTTAGCGAGACTAGGGCCCGACTAGACGAGCTCCGGCAGGAGAGACAAACATTAGCTACTGAAATCGCTCAAAAGACTGAAGAACTACGACGACTTCAAGAACGATTGGAAGCCATAGATGATAGCATACAAGAGGGAAGTCGTCTGGTTGAAACACATTGCCTTAACCAAGCCAGTCTTTGCGACCAACTTCAGGCAGCGATTCAAACGAGACTCGTCCAGAGATACCAAGAAGCATACCAACGTCGTCGGGCCATAAAGTCAGAACTCAAATGGGCCGATCTAAAAACTGCTTTACGGGCGCTTCTCTCCTTGTAATACAAATATATTCACCTAACTTAAAAACTAGAATACTTATTTAAACGAATATTATATTTATCTTTCCTTAATGTTTCCCCTCATATTAATATATATATATATAATGTAGGAATTCCCAGTCTGAAAGTATCGACATTTGAACTTATTACTTTACGGTCACAAGTTTACAATCACTGTTCATAGTATACATATTTATATATATTTATTAATTGTATGGTACTTGAATTTAATATATTTGAATATGTGGGCCCAATGCATGCCTAAGTTATGCCCTAATTAATATATTCTAGAAGTACATAATTAACTATAGTTGAAGAATGTTAATTTGGTGATTGTTGATTGATGGGATTAATTAATAATATTAGTATTTTATTTTACATAGCCATGATGTTTGTTTAAAGGGGAGAAAGAAACTTTTAATTGATTTACTTTTATTTTTCTTTAAAAAATAAATAAAATAGAAGATGATTAAATTTTGTCCCAATGGAGTTTAATGAGTTATTAGGTGACATGTCCCTTGGAATTTGGATGAATAAAATAATAATTGATAAAATATATATATATATTTTTAAAAATAAAAAGAAAGAGTAGAAATTCAGAATGCATTAATTTGGAACTGTAGAGTTAGCCTTATATTACATCTTTAATTAATACTTCCTCTTCAACTAAAAATAGTCCATTTGTGTTCGTCAAACTACAGACCAACGGACCAACTTCCTTTTGTCAGACTCCAAACCAACTGACTTGCCTATCCGACTGCGTAACATTCCATCTCCATCTTCACCAGACTTCCTCTTTCAACAGACCTCTGAGCCGTTTAGCTTATATTCAGACCCATCCAAAACCGTACTACGGTTATTAATTATTATTATTATTATTTTTTCCGCCCAACAAGAATAATAATAATAATAATAATGGTTCAAATAGAAAAAAAGTAATGCATTTATGATAATGAATACCCAAAAAAACAGACTCTCATACAACCAACTATTTAAATAAACACACAATTTACAAAAATACTAACTGCAATCACATCCCTTACCTTGAATTCAGCTACAAAGTTAATCTACATACGTAACTATATCTACCAGAGCCAATCTACCTGACAAAAATAAACACATAGAGCCTGCCACTCACTAACCTCTATCACTTCTTACATGAAAAAACGTGTCACTCACTAACTTCTATCACTTCTTACATAAAAGTTACCACTCTAACACAGCAACCACTCTAACAAAGCAACACGCCAACAACATCCATTTAATTATAAAGACAAGATTCACTTTCAATACGTGCTACATTCTTCCTTAGCTTTTCTTTTTCACACATTTCATCACTCTTCCATCAATTCTCCTTACTGCTAATCACTACAAGCCAATGGCCAACCACATAACACCCATAACTGATTTAACCATGGAAAATAGAAACTGGACAGTCCGTGCGTTACTCGTAGAGATGTCCGCTATCAGAACAGCCAAGACCAGTGGAAAGCCCTACAGACGATACGTCTTTGTTGACACACAGGTATTCAAACAATCCTGCTTATAAAAATAATTGATTGAATTTATGTACTACTATCTAAATTTTACATTTAATATACTTTATTTAATATGGAATAAAATTTAAAATTAATCATATTTACTATGCTTATAATTTACTATTAGTTATTTTATAGTAGAAGAAAATTGATACATTAATTTTCTACATTACTAATTAGTTTTTTTGGGGTTAACTATCTTATTTACTTATTTTGTAGGGCACCAAACTCATGACGTGTGCCTTTTCTGCGGACATGGAAGCATATGATCATTGTTTAAAACTCTTTAAGACCTACGAGATATTTGCTAAACAAGGCAAAGAGTACAAGACGGATCTACCAAACTTCAACTCTCAAATCCAGCTCTATCTCAACAAACACTGCAGCATCGTCCCTGTTGAATCTGATCCCATATCTTCTCTAACTGGAAAGCCATCTTTCAAAAAGCTCTCATGCATTGTTGATTGCCTAGCAACAAATGAGTACATCGGTATAACTCCTATTATGTTTATGCTTTAATTCATTTGCTTGTCCATATTTTTGCATTTATACCTAATATATGATACATATCAAACAGATGTGGTCGGTGTACTGATAGATGTTGCAGAACAAAAGCAAAGAAACAAACGTCAACAACCGACCTCTTCCAACATTATAGGAGATCGTGTTCAAGAGATTGTAATCGTAACTGAGGAGTAAGCATAGATTCAAGTACAGTTATTTTGGTATCATTATATTTTTATCACCTTTTTCACATCAGTGTATGTATTCATCTTTAATCACAATTTATTTCTTCTAAAAGAAGTTATGTCAATAATTATGCCTGTCAACTATATTTTTAAATAAATATACTAAATTTTTATCAGCTTCCATTTCTATTCGACATCTTTTAATAGTACACTAAATTTACCAAATTAAAGTAGCATATGTTCTTCACACAGTTTTCTCCATTAATTTTCATCATAATAGATGCTACCGACAAGACTGACCTTATGGAATGAATTGGTGGACGCTGAAGGAAAATACTTCACATCCATTGTGAAGGAAAGACCTATCATTGCGGCCCTCCACCTGAAAGCAACACTATATGCAGGTAGTTTATGCATCAACCGTATTTGACTGAACACATATAAATTATTGTCAATACTTGTATCGTAGTCCACCTAATGACCATTTCACTTCATTTGATTCTATATTCGTATGTGAAGGAATTTCGTTGTCTGCAATTTCCATGGCAAATTTTATTGTTGATCCTCCATATCCTGAAGCTGACAATCTATTGAGCTGGTATTCTTTTCTATATCAAATCAATATTTTATATTTTTCATATCACAACACTACACTCCCATTGAAAATCAATTACAAATTTCATTTTAATTCAAAACACTTTACATCACAGGAAACTCAATAATAAGGTATGCATTGATGAACTCGTAATAAAAAAACCATACTTCAACACAGCCGAAGGAAGCCCGCTAGCTGTAGTAACTCTCTCAACAATTGCAACCATGTCACAATCTACTCGCGTGAGTTATTTATAATGTATATTTGTATATATACAAATAAAACATAATAAAGTAATCAAAAACTTGCCTGATATAGCAAGGTGAGTACAAAATCAAGGGATGTTTGTCAATCAAAGTGGATAAGAAAGTGCAACTCCACTACAACGCCTGCGATAAGTGTTACACATCAACTCCAGCACCAACAGCACGGCAGTTTTTTTGTTTAAGGTGCAAATCTGTCCAATCGTCAGAGCAAAAGTAAGAAAGACTACTTATTCTACTTTTTACACATTTAAAATTTGATATATATTTATATACACGTAACAGTACATATATACAAACAGGTCAATTCTGCGCTTACAGATTGTTGATCAGACAGGATCAATTACCTGCGTTGCTTATGACAATATAGCGCAACAAATTCTGAACTTTGACATACCAGAGTCAAATGAACTAGGACAACAGGTAAAACTTTAAATATTTCATCAAAGTACTATACTGTCTCATTATATATATATATTACACAGGAAATCATTTCACTATGCAATCTGCGCAATCAAGAACTTGAAAACCAATCATACCTCTTTCACATAAAGAAAAAGGCCGCCGCACCATCCCAAACAGAAACACATACTTACACACTTATGTCTGCTTCCAAAGAAAACAAAGGTACATTACATTATCATGAAAACAACTATGACTATCATAGGGTGTAATCATATACCACTCATTTTATATAACAAATAAAATTCATGTACAGATAAGGAAATTGATGCCGAAGAAACATTGTCAAATAACTACCCTATTGTACCCAAACACACTGGGATAACACCTGAAATGCAGGAGAAGGCAACCTGCACAACTGCTACCTTAGAATCATCTGTTCCTGGTAAGAACAACAATATATCATCCTAACAATATAAAATAATAAACATAAGTCCAATTTCATAGTTTCAACTATACTTATACAAAAAACATTATTTAGGTAAATATGCAAAGAACTTGCTTCCACTGTTCAATGAGTTGGAATCTATCAATGATCAGAAATCAAAGGATCAAGCATCAACGGTCAAGAATTCTGTCGCTCCACCGAAAGAATCCAAAAAATAGTTGTCAAGCTTTTCTACAACATCTTTTGTTTTGTACTACATCCAACTACTAAACTACCTACCTTTTTGTAATATTACTATCCGATGTGTACATACAACATTTTGAATATCTATCGGCTACATATATTTATCAAATTTCTTATTACTATAAATTCATAATTCGATTGTGTTGATGTATTTTTTCAACAAACAAAAAATAAAATTCAAAGATATGGAAATATCCTTAAATTTGATTAATTATATTATGAATCTCTAAACACTGTAAGGTACATAAGTGTTAATGTATTTTTTCAACAAACAAAAGGTAAAATCCGAAAATAGGACCAAAAGACAAAAAAAAGACTCCTTCGCCGCCCCCACTAAGAGACCAAACTACTGTTCACTTAGTGGGCACCCGACTTATCTTGTTCTGACTACGTACCAACCGACTTGCTTATCAGATCCCATCCCATCTGACCCGCTTACCCGATTGCTAACTAACCGACCTGCCTGTCCAACATGCTTACCAACCGACTTTCAGACTTTCCGATATATAGACCATCCGACCCGCCAACCGACCGACCTCACTATACAACCGCAAACCGTCCGACCTACAAACTTTCCGACCTATGGACCATCCGACCCCCTAACCAACCGACCTGACTATCCGACCGCAGACCTTCCCACTTGCCGAACCTACCGAGGACCAACCGACTTGACTATCCCACAGCGGACCAACCGACCTGAACGCAAAATTTACTTCTTTTCCACCTGACTTCGTGCATAACTTCCTCTAAGATCCTGCTACCCTTATTTTTATTATTATTTTTTGTGCGTAACAGATTGCATTACAGAATAGTCGCGCGGTATACCGCGCAAAAGCGGGTTCTAATATATATATATATATAGAAAAAAGAAAGAGTTGATTGAAGATAATCTTATACAACAATACACGTGATTTCAGAAACACAAGACACTAACATCTCAAACAAAAGTCTGACAAAATAAAAACAAAAACAAACATAATTCAAACAGACAAATCACTGATACAGTTTTTTCAGTTAAGCCTACGGCAGTTCTTCCTGATCTCACCTTTGGACCCTGTAAGAACATTAATCTTCCCCATCTTGATCATAGAATCCGCAAATTGATGGAAGAATCGATCCTCATCGTCAGCATAGGTTCTTACAAGTTCCGCGGCTTTTTGCTCGTTTCCAGCGAACAAAACCTCGTCGGAACTCAGCAGCCCTTTGCCCGACAGCAACAGTTTAAAGTACGTGTTGTCGAATCTGACGGGCGACGAAACATCGAGGGGCGAAACATTGTTGTCGCCGCCGACTTTAGGACACGAACTTTTGAGGTCGTTGTAGTAATTTCTTTCGAGGGTCACGTCCGGTTGGTTCTTCCCGTTCTGGTTGTATAATCTTTGTCTGAACGTCGCGCATCTCGCCAAACCTATGGTGTGCGCGCCTGGAAACGAGGATATTATCTTTCGATGTTAAGTTCAGACACGTCGAGGGATGTGAGTTTTATACGATGATTGTAGAAAGAAGTGATCGTACCAGATAGTGCGACGAGGTCTTGTTCGTCGAGGCCCTGGCGACTGAACTTTGCGATGAGTGTTTGGATCGTCGAATTCGGAGCGGGAATGTTTCGATTCGATTCGCTCAGGCTGGCTTTTGTCGAGTCCCGTCGACCTAACGGCACTTCCCAGTGCGGTCCGCCGCTCTGCACGGCAATCAATTTAGCGATTTTACAGCAAGTTTACGACAAATACAGTAACGCACCAGAACTTTGAAGTTAAGCCGACTCACAGAATTAGATACAAAATTTCGTCCGTGAGTATTTTGTCAGTTAGTAATTTCTCATTAGCAAAATTCATGAATAATTCCGTGAGTAAATTACTTATGAATTTCTGACCGTGAGTAATTTGCACACGGAATTTGTCTTGTGAGGTAATTTACTCCCGGAACAAATTTCGTAAGTAATTCCGTGAGTAAAATCGATAATAATACTATGATAGGTGACCTCAAGAACAAAAAATATATATATAATATTATGTCGATCTTTGCTTACTAAAACAGTGGAGTCGCGGGCAGCAAGCGCGACAATGTCGGCGCAAGAAACAGTGTGAGGGCAGACTTGCTCCATCTTTGCCTTGATTTCGTCGATCACTTCGAATCCCCGGAGGGAATTCTTGTTCGGCTTCGAGTTTTTCTCACTTACGACATTTTTGCTGTCATCCAGCAGCACAGACGCATCGCATCCCTGTAAAGGCGAACAATCAGAACAGCAGATAACGTAATTATACAAACAAACACGTCACAAACAACGTACCAGCGCAAAACAGTCGTGGAAGTGAAGCCTGAGCAAAGAAGCAGCAATTCTAGGATCTTTAACAATGGCATTTTCCAATACAGTCATGACAATTTCATTAGCCTGTGGGCAAGAGAACTGGTAGAATTCCGGGTCGAGGCCCGAGCCCGGGAAAGCTTCCAAACGGTACCAAGAAAGTACAGCAACAAGCAATAAGCTGGAAAAGAGCTTAACAAAAGCCATGTATCAAACAAGTGTTAGTAAATTTTTCCTACTCAGAAAAATTTCTTACCTGTGAAGCCACTGAGGTAATGATTTATATATAGCGCGAAAGAAATCGAGACCAACTAATCTGCCATGTACCAAATCCCATTTGATTTACATAAGAGAACATGCTTTTCATAGATATTTGGTGACCATTTAGGTCACAGTTTTGAAATTTGGGTAAGTGTTTCTGGTCTAGTTTCACCTGCTCCATTGATAAGTCTACTTATCCAAATTCGGCATTTTGCCTTATTAAAAACTACTTCCCTTGTGGCTAAACTTGCCTAAAGAAGTAGGGTAGACTATCTGTGTTCTCCCTATGTAGTCCTAAATTCACACTTGTCGGTAAAAAATTAGAATAACTAACCTGGAATAGCATGTTGTCTTGTCCTCAAGACGAGCTAAAACTGTATGTAGTCGGGAATTCTAACTGGGATGCCGATCGATTGTACTTTCGAATGTATGAAGATATTCTAAGAGAATATTGACAGAAACTTAAAAACAAAGGTAAGAAAAAAGTAGTAGGGATGATGGGACTATATTTCACAAGAAATTCAGTGTAAAAAAATATGCTAACAACATATCATTACATTCACATTCTTCGATCGTTTCAAAAGGCAAATGAGATGAGCTGTACGATTACTATATACAAAAGCACTGGCTAAATATAGAGAAGAGATTGCTCTGGTACCTTTATCCCGAGACCAATTTTTTTAGCATCTGTTGGGAAAGAGTGGGATATCGTTAATGTTGGGTGATGATTGCTGCCTTATTTTGCCTCTGTATCATTAAGTACCGGAAATAGCATGGACAGGGACATCTTAGTCTTCTTACAACATTTTCAGCTTTACAAAGCTTTTGCAAGCATGCTATGGATGGCAAACTTGTCTCATTGGAGTGAGAAGTCTTGCAATCCGGAGCGGGACATGAGCTCTAACCAAAGCTCCGCTCTCAACGTATTCCTATGAAATAATTAGACATTTTCAGTTTTCGATACTATAATGTATTAATGAGCCATTGAACTGTATAGTAAGGAAAAGACCTCAAAATTCTAAAACTGTACTAGAATAGACAAAGCTAGGGGTGTGTTTGGTTGTGATTTTAAGCCGACATCAATGCTATTCACTTGGCACGATTTTCAATAAAAATATATTATTTTCTCACAAAATATCACAAAATCCAAATCTAGTACTTCATTTCAAATCAATTTCAAACCACAACCAAACAAACCGGTCTTTACTTAAACTGCATCGACACCATTGGATACAAAAATGTCCGATCCATTTCCTCGTGTTTAAGGATAATGTTTAGGAAAATGTATATAAATAGTTTGAATTGCATCCATTCTTTGTTAAAATCTCCAGAGAAAATTGTCTGATAAAATTAGGGAAAATTTGAAAGCATATATGTTTCATATACAATTATAAATCCTCAATAACTCACAAAGACTCTCACGATAAACATAGCAGTAAGAAAATTGCTTACAGTTTTTTCAACCATGCCAACATGATGTATGGTGTTCAAGAGTTCTCCTTTCTCAAAAGGAATCAGAGCTTCCACCCATACCATCATATCCTGCCGTGTAGGAATTACAAAATGTGAATTTACCGGACAAAATAAGTGGAGGGCAAATACTCAAATATAATAAGATCAGATATTACCTTTAGTTTTTCTTGAACTGCATTGCAGAAATCCTCCAATCCCTCACCAGTTAAAGCAGACACACACACGACATCGGAGTTTTCCTCAGCTACTGACTTGATTTTTTCTGGGTGCTTTACATTATCAACCTGTGAATATGTTACATGCTGTTAAAAAGGGATTATTATGGACCTACAGTTTGCTGCAATCTACTGTGAATAGAAGCATATAAAGACAAAATATAAAAGGATTCAATAGTGGATGACTAAAGGAAAAAATAAATAAACAAGGAATACGATAACACATAGTCCAATTTGAATATTGTCGAGCAGCTAGGTCACTGTTAGCATATGGATTAGCAGATTACGTAATGCTGATGACTTTCTTCCAATGTTGCAAATAATTCAAATTCTGCAAAGTATTAACAGGTTATGGCACATTTAAGACAACCATGTGAAGTTGAAGAGGTTAACATGGCACAATAGAATCGTGTCGCCTCAGGTTTTCACACTGTTTTAATGGATCGGTGTTTGCAGCTTACTAATAGAAAAATGGAAACTATAAAGGTAACTTCACTGTATATGAAACTGAGCCAACCATCAACAGTTCATCCCAGTGCTGTAACCCTGGAAATGAAACCAAATATCTTTTAGTACCTTGTTCCATACAATCAACTGTGGAATTGATGTCGTGTCGAGTTCTGCAAGGACTTTATTCACAGCCTCAATTTGTTGTTCTGCCATAGGATGGCTGATTAAAAGAGAAAAGCTAAATTAGAAAATGTATGATGAGCAGAGTGATGATTTGGTGCTCACACTTGAAATGTTATCATATACCTTATATCAACCACGTGCACCAAGAGTGACGACTCGGATATCTCTTCTAGAGTTGCCCTAAAAGCAGCTACCTAGTATTGTAAAAACCAAATCCAGAGTAAGTCAGGTGATTACATTCTACATTCAGAAGATTCAGAAAAATAAAAATAAAAAAAAAAATAAAAAAACACAATGGCAACGGGAAACATTCGTACCAGTGTTGTTGGTAACTTTTGAATGAAGCCTACAGTGTCTGTCAAAAGAAACTCCTTCCTATTTTTCATCTGGGCAAAAAGAAAATAACAAAATTGCCAAAAAATTAGAGCTTTCTAAAAAATGTATATTATAAATGAAAATCCAACTTTAAAATATTAATCTAATTATAGTTGACAAGAAGTATTGTATCATAATACAAAAGGACAAAAAAGCATCAGGCATGGTTACTAATTTCCAGAGAACACAGATAAATCACATGATGCATTGGCAATAGGATTTAAACAAGTGAAAAATTCAGGATTTAAACAAGGGAAATTTCAAGTAGGGATATTTTGCTTACCTGCACCCTTCTTGTAGTGGGATCAAGTGTTGCAAATAGCTTATCCTCAGCATGAACATTAGCTCCAGTCAATCGATTTAAAAGTGTACTCTTTCCAGCATTTGTGTACCCAACCTGTGGGTTTGAAAGTCATATTGATCATAAATATATTTGAGGTAAACAAAATAATAATTGTAAGATATGGTATCCAATACTCAATAGAGGGTTTTTTTTTTTTTTTTTAATGAGGGGTTGTTATGATCGAGATGCCAAGCTATCAATTGAAGAGAAATGCAATACATCACTAGGGTAAGACAATAATTATGATGCTTGGGAAACATTAAATGCTGAGTTACATTTTGGACACACATTGAAATCTGATTAAACAAAATTACTCCCCTACCAGAGATACAACAGGAACTGGGACAGCAACTCGCCGGTTTCGGTACTGCTTGCGATGCTTACGAACAGATTCTATCTCTTTCTTGAGAGCAGCAATCTGAGAAGTCCAAAGAGTGGATATAAAAAATGGGCCAATAAAAGAGAGAAAAAAAAAAAAAAGAGTCAAACACAGAGGCAGTAAAATGCATCTGTGGACATGCTTCACACAGTTAAAAGTACACAGCAAGAATGTTCTGGCAGTGAAGGAAGAGAGTAATTTAGCCTAATCTGGAACAAAAAATCACAATGTAAATCAAGTATAGTAATAGATATTTGATTTTTACAGAATCCAATATAGACTACATGCCATTTACCTTTCGCTTTTGATAAATTTCAGTTTTGATTATACCAAGTTCAATTCTTAAAGTTACTTCATTTTGCCTTAACAAGTGCGGCAGTTGCGATTCTGTTTTTCTCTCAACTTTGCTAGCTCAAAATAAACAATTCACTAGCAGTAACAGTGTTGTAAAATTTTCATTCACCTAATCCAACCACGACTTCATCAATTTTTGAAATTATCACAAACGATCTGTGCACTTACAGCAATATCTAGTTGCAAACTTCCATGTAATATTTATATTAACAAGACACCAAGCAAAAATATGCTTTGCAAGTAGCAAGACACAAAAAAGAACATTATAAGATGAAGAAAAGAAAAGGGCATATTCTCGGAAAACTAGAGCTTCCATTGGCATGTAAAGATATAACAATAATGTCAAAAAGCAAACAACACACCTGATCACGTAATATACGCTTATCAACTTCTATTTGTTTCTCACCCATACCCTTCACTTGCCCTCCAGCTTGGCGCTCGAGATGGGTCCACATTCTTGTTAACCGAGGCAATTGGTATTCCATCTGAGCCAGTGTAACCTGAAAGTAACTGTTTTCTTAGTAGAATCACCAAAAGATGCACACTTGTAGACTTGAGAGTTTTGCCTCAAAGATCGGATTACCTGTAAAGAAGCTTCACGCGTGGCTGCTCGCTGGTTAAAAATATCGAGGATGAGGGCAGTCCGGTCACACACCCTGACATCGCCACCAAAGGTCTTCTCCAAGTTTCGCAGTTGCCTGTCTTCGAATATATAGAAAAAGTTAAAACAAGAGTATAACAAGCACAATCCAACACAACATCAAGACTTTTAAACAAAAATAAGAAAAGATAAAACTCCAATTAAAACCCAAGTTCATCAATTGTTCAATGATAAGGATGAAATATAACCTAGTAAACAATCCACATGCATAATAAGAACTTCATCAAGCACTTAAGAACCAACCCTGGTGACAGCTCGTCATCGAAAATCACTGTCTCGACACCAAATGCATGTATAGCACTCTTAATCTCTGCAACCTTCCCCGATCCTATGTATGTCCTCGGGTTCGGTGTTGCAAGCCTGCAGAAATTTATAATTACCAGAATTATTAGTGTCAACCAAAGTATGCATCATCATCAAGAATACCAAACCACAGATTATAACATCATACAACTTACTTTTGATAAGTAGATCCAACAACAACCAATCCAGCAGTGTCAGCTAGCTGCTCTAATTCGCTTAGAGAATCTTCTATACCAAAGATTCCATCAGTGTCGCCTTTTCTTGCCACACCAACTAAATAAGCTTTCTCTTCAAACACCTATATCGAATTCTTCATCCATAAAAGCGCACACACATACATATATATATATGTATATAAAACTATATAAAATTCTATGTAGAACTTTGAAATTCATAATCACACAAATAGCTTGTTTCAAGAAATTGAACTGAACTATGAAGTCGCGATACATGGAAGTCCAAACATATCCAATTACTACATCAAAAAATGAAAACAAAAACGTACTAGCCAGAATTGGGCAAGAAAAACAGACCTCACGTCCATTTCGCAGCTTGTACCGATTTTCTTCATCACTTTCCTCCGCAATTCGTGTCTTTCCTTCTGATTTTTTCAACTGAGTTTGCGTTGTTCCGAGAGATTCTTCGGTCGCCGCACCTGCGACTCCATTGACTGCGCCAAGTTCCTGAGTGTTTGAGTCGACATCGAGAGGTGTCCGCTCAGCAACGGTGTAGTCTGAGTAAAGTATTCCCACGCCATCCGCATCAGTAGCCTTGAAAGTACAATCTTTGCCGCGAATTTGGAAATTGAAGCACTGAATCGGTTTGAGATTAGGGTTGGCAGTCCATGGAGAAAGGAAACAAGGTTGGCGATGGAGGTAGGAAGGTTTCAGCATTGAGCAAAAGCACAAGCTCATGGTTATGGTAGGCGTAGCTCTCGTTGATTCTGGGCAAAGTCAGTCTATGGTGTTCAATAACCATCCACTTCTTCCTGCCCTTGAAAATATTGTAATTTGATGCTCTATACCCAATTTTCTATTCCGTCTATTCCCTTCAATTTTTATTATATTATTTTATTGTAAAAATTACTATCATCAGTTTAATATATAACAATAATTTTATTTTCATAAATAATTCTATTCTAGTAAAATTATTTTTTTTATTTTTTATTTTTATTACACATTTGCTATTATTTTTACACTAATACACCACAGGTAAAAAAATCTTTTATCCATATTATACGACTACTAATATAATATCTTCTTCAGTGTCCAACCCATGGGATGGAGAAAGTATTATTTTTCTCAAGACATGACACTTACTATTTAGATTCAATATTTACATAACATTTTAAAAAATATTATTTGAATTTGATATTGATTTTTATTTTAGATATAATATTTTATATTTAAATAATAATTATTTTTTAAAAAAGTAACTATAAGAAATAAATTGAATTAAAATTTCATATTATTTTTTATTTTATTTTTAAGAAAATATTTTAATAAATAAAGCAAATATTTAAATCATAAATTTTAAATTTTTTTCATTAAATTTCCTATAAAATATTATTTTAAAATTGTGTTTAAACAGTATTTTTGAATATTATATTTTTAAAATATAGTAATATATTTTTTTTATGGTAAAATAGAAATATAATAAAAATTAAAATAGAAAAATTATAAATAAAATTTTATTAAAAATATATTTTTATCTATAGAATTATAGATAAAAAGAAACACATAAATTTTATTACCGTTCTCTACCATCCATGTGACGCTATTTCATTGGGCAGAATAGAGGAATAGAGAAAATTGGGTATAGAGGATCAAATTACTATTTAGCTCTTTTGTTGGTTTATTATTATCACTGTAAATTATATTTCTTCGTGTCTTTATCAAATTTTTTTATTTTGGTCTTTTGCATGCCAATTTATCCATTTCTTTTTTAGTAATGTATTTTGTACTAATAGTAAAAATATTCGTACAATTTACAATATATTATATAAATATCATTGTCTTTATATTACACAATATTAAAGTATTTTCTACTTTATTCACGCTACGACTTTATTTATTGTGTGAAACACTTGTCCAAAATTGATATTTCAAGATCTAATTATATAAATAGGAAATATAAAATTTTTTAAATAATTTTTTAAACTAATATAAATAAATAAACAATTGATCAATTATTTATATATATTTTTTTGTAAAAAAAAGATAATTTATCTCAACAAATTATAAAATAAAAGATTAGCAATTATTATTTATTTATTTTATTAAAAATTATTTAAGATATTTTATATTATTTTATTTGTATAAAATTACATCATTTAGGCGCTGTTTGGTTCAAGGATTTATGGGATTCATGGATTTGGATTTTAAAATCCCGTGAAATCCATGTTTGGTTAAAGTGGAATTTAAAATGATGGGATTTGAAAAATGGGTCTAAAATCCTATAAATAAGGGATTTTTTTGTAACGGGATACCCCTATTACTTTTAAATCCCATTGTTGAAATTTTTATTTTTACATTTATATCCTCTTATAAAAGAAAATAATAGTATTATATTTATATAAAAAATTAAATAATTTTAACATTAATTATTATTTGAATTATATACTTGATTAAATTTATTTATTTTTTATTGTACAATATTTTATTTGAATTATAAATTATAGGGACGACCATAAGTCGGGTTCAGTCGGAACTGATATTCATCTCAAATATATATTGTTAAATCCGAAATTCAAGTTGGATCCAATTATACTAGATCCGACGGAGACTATACCTGGTAAGATTTGATGGATCCAAAAAATCCATTTTTTTTACAATTCTTAAATTTTAATTTAAAATTACACATGCACCGAATCCAATGTATATTAAAATTTATGTATTTTATTAAAAAAATATTATAATAAAATAATGAATACGTTAAACTCAAAAAATATTTTTAATATAATTATATTATTCGAAATTATTTTTTTGATATGTATGGTTGATATATTATTATTATATTACCCTGATCATGATTCGGATCCAGGCCTAATAATCAAATAATTGGACTCAACTTCAAATAAATAGGTCGGGCTCGGTCAAGTCTCGAGTTTACGCGAATCTATTGTCATCCTATAAAATTATTGATATCTTTTCAATTTATATTAATAATGAATTACAGGTTTAATTTGTCAAAATAAATAAAATTGAGGAGAAATATGTCATTAGAATATAAAACATCCAAATCCACGAAATATAAATTCCACCACATTTTACCAACCAAACATAATATGGGATTCCAAATCTTAAATATAATAAATCCCATCCCATATAATTCCTACTGTAAAATTCCAATTCCACCAAAAAAATTCATGAACCAAAACAGCCCCTTGGATCTTTAATTAAAACCAGATAGTCAAGAGAATATTTCTGAAAATTTTATGACGGAATAAATAAAATATAAAATATTTTATGTATTTTTACTAAATTAAAGAAGATGTTATATAATTTAACTTTATGATCATACAAAATTTTCAAGTTGGTTCAAAATTGGGTTTGGATTGATTTTTCACAAAAAAAACTTGAGATTTAAATCGATTAATCAAAAATTTGGATATAATTCTATGTTATTTATTTATCTTTTATTGAAGTTAGGAGAGAAAAAATAAATAAATAAAGAAACGTCAAGCATAGTAATTATTAGCTCGACATATATATAACTTCTTGTATGATCTCAAGAGTTTTTTATTTATTTATTTTTAATATTATTCTTTTTTAAGATAAAATAGTTGTTATATTGATATATTTATTTATAGGATATAGTATTAAAAAATTGAAAAAAAAAAAATAAGGCTGTTAGAAATTTCAAAAATAAATAATAAGGAAAAAAACAAAAAAACTAAGCATATCATTTATGGGTTATTTGCCACCTTTTTTTCCTTTTACATGATTTAATATATACATTATTATCTCACCAAAATAAAGTCATTTCGTTATAGTTTTTTTTTTTTTTTTTTTTTTACCATTTTTGTCTGTTTCAATACAATAGTCTCATTTCCAAAAAACACTTGTATTATCGTAAAATTATTTTCTTTTACACAAATGTTACTACTTTTTACATTAATACACTCGAAAAGGCAAAAAAAATTTACACTCGAAAAGGCAAAAAAAATTTCTATTCATGTTTTTTTTATCAACTATCAATATAATACTCCTTCCATTCCAAACACGGAAGTATTAAGTATGATAATTTGAGATAATTTGGATATTAAGTGATGTAATTGAAGAGGAAAATATTATTTATTTTTTTATTTAAGTGATATGATGAGATAAAATGAAGTATATATTAAGATATATATAACTATTACTCCCTCCGTCCACAAACTAATGTCCTATTTTCCTATTTGAGATGTCCAACAACTATTGTCCTATTTTTTTTTTAAACACAAATTTTACATTTTTTACCCTTCATTTATTTATTATTTTTAATCTCTACCGTATAATTAAGGGCAAATTTGTCAATTCATAACAAAAAGACAATTACCTAAAAAATCGTGCAAATATACTTTAGGACAATAGAAATTGGACTGAGTGAGCATTAATTGTTTCTAAATTTGAAAATATTGCAGAGTGTTTGGAACAAAACAAATATAATATTTCTTAAATCTCGTGCTCAATCCAAATAAAAACATAGTTTGAAGACGAATTGAGTATTCAATATAAAATATTATTTATTTTTTATATGACTGATACGATTCGTTTAAAATATATATATATCCGAAAGAGTAGGAAAATATAAATAAAAGATTTGAGTCTTGAGAGTTGGTGTGTTAATAGGCATTCACAAATACGCATATATATATGATGTCATGAATGGGCGAGTGGGGAGCAAATACGCATATATATGATGTCATGAATGGGCGGGTGGGGAGGGCATATATATGATGTCATGAATGGGCGGGTGGGGAGCAAATACGCATATATATGATGTCATGAATGGGCGGGTGGGGAGGGGTTTTGAATTTGAGACCGCAAGATCATGAATTCAAACCCCTGACACTTCAAGCATGTCGATTCCATAATATTCCCAACGCAAACAAATGATTTGTTCGTGGCTTGCATGTTGGAGTGTTACATTATTGGGCCAAACTACAATCCCGATATACCCGACATTGCGTGACGTGCGAATCGAGGTGTCACAACAAACTATGATCCCGGTATACTCGACTTTGCGTTGCTTGAGTAGCTAAATTGTACAAAATACCTGTGGTTTTACAAAATTGCGCAACACTCCTCGTACTTTCAAAACCATGTCAAACTACTTTGTGGTTTCACAAAATATGCATTTTACCCTATTGGCCGTCCTTACTTAACTGTATTTAACTTATGCGCCCGAAATGCGAATATGCATTTCTAAATCCTTCAAATTACAAATATATTCATTATTCTTATCATTTAACTTCAAGAATCAGTAAGTGTAAACAAAAATAATTATTTTTCTCTAATTTTACAAATTTTTTTAATGTTCTTTTGAGATTAAATATATTTATAATTTTAAAAATTTAAAAATTAATATTCCAATATTCATTTGAAGTTTGAGCGCATGTAACTTAAATAAAGACAGCCGAGGAGATTAAACACAAAGTGAAACCACTATTTGAAGCAGTTTTGAAAATATGAGAAATTTCGCCCAATTTTATGAAACCACTAGAAAATTTTGCAATTTGTAAACATTTTTACCCTTTGATTTTACTTATGAGTAATAGTATATTTATAATTTAGATAAAAAATAATAATAATCATAATATTTTAGTATTAATATATAATTATTTTTACTAAAATATAAAATACAATACTTTTGAAGGAGAGACACAAAAGTAACAAAACTAATACTACTATAAATTTAGGAAGGAAAGAGTATAATTAATCAAATCACGTACTTATTGATTTCATCATATTAACATACAAAAACATCTCGTGTGATTTTCTATATCACACACTCTTGTCAACTATGCACAGCTGATAAATACTAAATATTGACATATAACCAAATCAACATTAACAATAAATTGATGCTAATCAAAAACTTAAAAAGACAATATACCAAACTAAGAAGAAGGATCAATCAAAAACAATAGTCCCGCAATCGGCAGCTAATGCCTTACACACTTAAGGCTGAGTAGTTCTTTTTTCCAAAAAAAATAAATCAAACTCATTCTCTACAATTTTCAATAAAGAAACAATTTTTATTTTTTTTCTTAATTTCAAACAACAACCAAACATTCCCTTAAATTTCACACACAAGTTTTATTACATCATGAAACCATTCAAGCAAGGCCACATTACAGTCGGCAAATATATGTAATAACACAACATACATACCCAAACAAGGCAGGGAATCAAGTCTTAGCAAAGATCAAATACATAAAATAAAAGCATGGTGCCGATATAGACTTACATCTTGACATTATCTCAAGCAGCAAGTTCAGTAATTTTGGCCTGAAGTTCCTCCTTCCGAGCACCAACAATCCTATGAATTTCCTTCCCATCCTTGAGGAACACGAAGGTAGGCATTGCCTCTACTTTATAATCAGCAGAAACTTGCTGCAAAAGGCGATTTAATGGAGTCAGAAAAATTAGTATTGATTCTACCAAACAAGGGCTAAAGAAAAAGGTTTGCAACATCAATGTACCTTTAGCTGATCAACATCAACCTTCAGGAATATGATTTGAGGATGCTTCTTTGCAAGCTCAGTCAAAAGTGGAGCAATGAAGCGACATGGTCCGCACCATGAAGCAGTGAAATCAATGACCACCTGAGCACGAATTTTTGGTTTCTCGTGTTAATTTTGGAGCTTTAATGCATAACATGAACAAAAAACAACTGAAGATGCCGATGCAGGAAGAATTAAGAACAGTGACTTAGTTGAATAGCAATGTACAAAGAAAAGGGAGTTTCCTGTTCCCAATCACACATATTTCGGGTCAACAATTGTCAATGATTCACCATCAACAACTTTCTCACTTTAGGGAAAGTGAACACGGAACAAATATTAAATTCTACTTCCTAGGTATAAAATTGGATCGATTTCCTCAACAGATAAGCAATTTGGATCTGTGAAAATCAAAATCACCGAAAACCAGGAAATACACAAACAAGAAAACTAATTAATCTCAAGCAATCGATTCTCCTACATGAATATGAACTGAAATCTCTTCATCCACTCTACAGTCTACAGAGGCACCGAAACGTAGGAGGTAAAAAAATGAAAAGTATTCAACACGAACGACGAACACAGCACCGGCCGGTGCAAACCCTAGGAATACGCCAATCAAAGAAACAAAGACTGCGAAAACCGAAATACAATCGACAGAACGCAACATAAACAGGCAAAACAGTTTATTAATCACTCCAAAAATCGAAGGTTCATCAAAATTACCACTTGTCCCGGCGTGGCCTTGTTTTTCTGCTCCTCAAATTGTTCCACAGTCTGGCAGGCAATCACCTCCGGAGTAGCCATTACTAATGAACCGCTTTTACCACCTATTTCTTTCTCTTTAAAGTACGCGTTCGTTGCAAGCGAGGAATGCAATGAGAATGAGGCTTGGCCATCGTCTCTTTATATAGGGCCAATAAAGGCGGTGCCGAATTGACGAGTTTGGGCCGGTCTTTGAATTTAATTACATGTATGCCACTCAAAGTGAGTCAACGAGTAAGGGAGCAACGCTATCATGATGTTGTCGTGTAGCCATTAGTTGGATTCTGTACGGTCAAATTTCGACGGTCGCCATGCGGCCACACGTGGGAGATATTAAGGGTCCGTTTGTCTTCGGGAATTGAATTTTAAATAGACTATTAATTCTATTTTTTTTTTCAAAAATATCAAATCAAATATTTATTTTTATTTTTTATATTATATTAAAAATTAATTTTACATTTAAAATATAACATCAATACTTATTTATATTTATATCGTATCATACAATTATTCAAATTCAATTTTTTTACTATTTAAATTTCAACTCAAAATTTAAGCACAAACAATCACACCGTAACAAGATTCTCAAACGCGGCTACTGTCGGCGCGACGCGCTATTTATGCATAGAAACAATAATCTAAGGATCGCTGTCGTGTTTACTTTAAACAATATGATCTTTTGTTTTGACTTTAAACAAAATACTCCCTCCTTCTGTTTACAAAGTTTATATGTTTGTATTTTGGGACGTTCAATTACAAAGTTTACATTTTATTAAAAATACCATACTTTATTCCACAAATACCCTTACTTTTACACGGACAAAAATATCATTGCACTACTTTTAACTACTCACTATAATTAAAATATTATTATTTTTTAAACACAAGTAAATATAACCCTCGTAAATGGACGGATGGAGTAATTTTTTAAATGAAATAACTATTTAATTTAATATAGATATATATTATATGATGTTTTAAAATATAAAATTAAATTTTTATTTAATAAAATAAATTAAAAAAATAATTATTTAATTTAAGATTTTTAAAAATAAATAAAAATTGAATAATAAAATTACTGATAAAATTTCACAAGTAATCAGAGCAGTGGATTTTATCCCATTTTCTCTCGTTTATTCTCATTCTTTATATACAATTTAAGGATGGGTTAATTCTCTTAAAATTTTCTAACTCCTAAATTATTTTTCTGTCGGTTTCTATCCATATTATTTTTTCATTTAGGTCTATATTTATTCTATATAACTCCTTATTTATAATTACTACACATTTTTACCTATCAAATTTTTATTTTACCATCTAAATAACTTTTTATTCATATTTTTATTCGCAAATAAATCCGAAACACTTATATGAATAATATTTAATTTTGTTATTTGCTTATTTATAGAACAATTTATTTATTTTTTATGATATGAATTTTTATATATAAAATCAATCTACTTATGACTCAATAATATTTGCAATTTTTTTTACAATATATTAGTTTTTATAATAGAAAAATATTTTCATTTAATAAAAATTCATTATTTTCAGTTTGTTTATTATATTAATCATACTTATATTTAATTTAGATCAATATTTTTTTCTATAAATATTTTATATAATTATAATGTAAGAGTTAGCAGTACTTTTTTATTATTTATTTATTTATATGATTCTTTTATTGTCAATTATAATTTTTGTTATTGTAATTTTCTATTTTATATTTAAATGAATAAAAAATAGAATTAAAATATAAAAATTAGTGCTTTATAGTGCATGTAAAAAATAATGATTAAGAAAATTAAATGAGAGTACATGAGATTTTTACATGAATGAGGAGTAAAAAAGAATAAATTTGTAAAAATAAAAATTAAAGAAGATCGAATTAATGTATAGAGAGTAATAAGAAAATGAAAACATAATTAGAAAATTATCTGAAAATTGACATTTAAGGAGCACTATGTTTGGGTAGATTTTATTTGTTCTATCAAACAATAATTATGTATTAATATTAAAATACTCCATCCGTCCCAATACAATAGTCTCGTTTACCATTTTTGTCCGTTTCAAAACAATATTCTTATTTCCATGAATAAACATATCACTATAAAACTACTCTTATTTTTTCATTATTATTACACAATTGTCACTACTTTTTACACTAATACACTCGTAAAAAAATCTTTTACCCATAATTTTTACCCACTATCAATATAATTGCCAAACATATAACTCAGACTATAGTTTTGGGACGGAGGGAGTATTAATTTGTAACACGTGCTATATACATACTCCCTCCGTCTTATTGAAAAATTTTCATTTTTCATTTTCGTTCGTCCCAAAACAAGATTACAATTTCATAATTTTGTAATTATACTACATATCTAACATAATAAATATTCTTTCAACTTATAATATATTACACAAATAATATTAATTTTATATTAAACAATACTAATATGGGTATTTTTGTCTTTTTTACTTTAACCCATATAATACTAATATTAAAAAAAATCTATGTACAAAGAATAAATGACAACCCTTCCGATAGGATAGAGGAGTATTATTTTTATATTAAATTATATAATAATTTATTTTCTTAATTAAATAATAGTTATAGTTTTTTATATATATATAAAATATACTACTCGAATCAAATTATTTCAAAAAAATAATATACATAATAAAAATTAAAAAAAAAATAAAAATAACAAAATAGATCAATAATAAAATATATGTGCATAAAATTAGTTAAAACATATAATAAACAATTTTAAAAATACATAATAAAAATAAATATACCAAAAAAAAAAAGAGAGATTCCGTTCACTCAACATTTCTGAATAAATTGATTTTTTATATATGATACGAAGAATTATATAAAATTATAAAATATATTATTTTAAATTGAATATTTAATTTTTTTAATAAGTATTTTATTTTATTTTTACCTTTTAACTTTTATAAAACACATTTTGATTTGTTTATTATTTTATTTTTTACCCAATTTTCCACCCCATCACATAATTTGACTTTTTAAAAAAATTATTATTATCATTACAATACTATTAAAAAAGTAGTATAAAATAAATGATATGTAATAACTAAAACAAAAATAAACATAAAACTTTAATTGATGGAAATAATAAAAATCTCACAAAATTCATATTCAAATTTAACTTTAATTAAAAATATATTAAAAACAACTACTTATCAAATCTACATCAATTAAAATTGAAATACATTTGAAAACAGTTTATATGTATCTTTCGTATTTCTAGTCTATAATCTATATATATATATATATATATATTATATTCAACTACTATATTAAATTAAAAATTAAAATAAAATTTTAAGAATTCCATACATATAGATGAGAAAAATAAAAAAAAAATCTTAATCCTTTTATCATAATTTCTTTTATGTTCTTAGCTTAGAGTTAAAATATATATATAGTATAAAAAATAAAATAAAATAGACATATCAAAAAAAAAAAAGAATTGAGATCTAAAAAAATTAAATAAAATGTAAAAAGTGTAAAGTGAGAATGAAATTAAAAGAGCACTGTGACAAAAATTGCTTGGCTTCGAACAATTGCCTTGTCACCTCAGATAATTTGTCAATAGAGGCTCATTTTAGAGCAAGACCATAGTGTGTGCTCTTATACCAACCAATCACATATGACACGTGTTTATTTATTTATATTAAAGTTTTTATCTTATATAAATTGCACATTAGTCCTTTATTTATTAGTATTAAGACTAAACTCTTTTTTTTTAGTCTCGTATCTGACCTTATTTATCATTTTAGAATTTTAAGTGGACAATGTCTGAAAATAGTTCTACAAGTAAAAATTTCTCGGTAAAATGATCATCCGGTGCCGGACTTGTCACGCTGGTCCGTTGTTGCTGACGTGGCGCTAACGTGACTAACATGTCACGCCATGTATATGTCACGTCAGCACATATGTGGAATTTTTTTAAAAAAATTATTTTACAAAATATTTTGGTAATTTTTTTTAGTTCTATATATGACATTCTTTATCATTTTTAGGACATTTAAATGAACTCTATCTGAAAATAGTTTTATAAGTAAAATTTTTTCGTTAAAATGATTTTGAGACGCGGAATCTACGTGGATATGACATGTTATCCGCGTCAGCGCCACGTCATTGCTAGCGTGACAAGTCCGGCACCAGAGGACTATTTTAGCAAAAAAAAAAATACTTACGAGACTATTTTCAAATATAGTTCACTTAAAATCCTAAAATAATAAAGGAGATGAGATACATAACTAAAAAAAAAAAACAGTTTACTCTTAATATAATTAGCAATCAAAAAAAAAAAAAAAAGTTACCTCAACCTCTGCACACAGAGAAATTACGAGAACGATGGACTTAGGGTGTGTTTGTTTGGGGGTTTAGATTTTGAGTTGGAATTTGAATAGTAAAATTTTTGAATTTGAATAATTGTATGATGTGATATAAATAGATGTTGATGTGATATTTTGAATGTAAAATTAATTTTTAGTATAATATAAAAAAATAAAATATGAATATTTGATTTAATATTTTTGGGAAAAGAAAATAGAATGAATAGTATATTTAAAATTCAATCCCCAAACAAACAAACTCTTAATGAATGAGGGACTAATGTGCAATTTTTATAAAATAAAACTTTAATTAAAATAAAAAATTAAATAAATATTCGACTCAGCTCGTTAAGATCCGCGAACTTTAGCCGAACCGAAACGGAGACGTTTCGTTTAACAACTCTATCCTCAAATCCCAAATGATTTCCAGATGATCCCGGAATATCATCGACCTTGGAATATCAACGGTCCAGATCTATCCGGTGTCAAACCCTTTTGGCCCCCTATATTCCACCCTCGACTACCCCTCGATTCAATCGTCTTCCTCGCAAAATTTTCAAACCATCAGTCAATCGATTCCTGAAATCCATTACCAAATCGTAGCTCCGATTCAAATAAAATCTTCGTCGGCAATGGCGTTACCTCACCTCTTACATTTGCCTCCGCCGCCGTCGTATTTACTTTTTCAGAAACCCCATTTAAGCTGCGCCGAAGGTCTGCACAATCCCTTAATTCCAATCTCCACGCGCCGCCGTGCGCGGAGGCAGAACCAGTCCACCTTCTCTCCCTGCTCCGCCGCCGAGAAGCGCCGCGCGAATTTCCCCAGGCCAAACGACGTCGTCGAGCTCCCCATCTTCCCCCTCCCCATCGTCCTCTTCCCCGGCGCCGTCCTCCCCCTCCAAATCTTTGATTTCCGGTACCGAATGATGGTTCACACGCTCCTCCACTCCGATCTCCGGTTCGGCGTAGTCTACGCCGGCGGCGGCGGCGGCGGCTCCGCCGCCGAGGTCGGCTGCGTCGGCGAGGTCATCAGGCACGAGCGCCTGAAGGACGACCGGTTCTTCCTAATCTGCAAGGGTCAGGAGCGGTTCCGCATCGCCGGTCTGGTCCGCACCAAACCGTATCCGGTGGCGGCGGTGACGTGGCTGGAGGACCGGCCGTCGTCGCCGCCGCCGTCCGGCGAGGTCGGGGATCTGGACGCGCTGGCCGGCGAGGTGGAAGCGCACATGAAAGACGTGATCCGGTTGTCGAACCGGCTGACCGGGAAGGCCGCGGCGGCGGTTCGGGATCTCCGGCGGAACCTTTTTCCGACGCCGTTTTCGTTCTTCGTGGGGAGCACGTTCGAAGGGGCGCCGAGGGAGCAGCAGGCGCTGCTGGAAATGGAGGACACGGCGGCGAGGCTGAGGCGGGAGAAGGAGACATTGAGGCACACTTTGAATTACCTCACGGCGGCGTCCGCCGTTAAGGATGTTTTCCCGTCTTCCTCCTTGTGACATTCCAAGGTTAGACTTGGACTGTCTACAAACTCATTTTTTGTTATGTACTTCTACATAGTAAAGTTGTAATGGTATACATACCATTCTGGTTATTTATTAGTTGTTGAAATGTTGTTGTACTAACATATACGTTGACATCAATGATTATGGCGGCAGCTATAGTGCTAATTTGCACACGATATTATTGTTGACAACATATCATTTTATATAAATATTTAACAATAAAACTAACGACGGAATTGATTTTAGCGAATGACATATTCTTATATCAAACATGTTTTTATTACACACAATACACATATAATATTGTTTCTATACTTCTACGTGTGCTAATTTTTCCAAATGAGCGTCGTAACCTTTTCTCAATGATTATATGTGCTGCATAGACTATTGTGTTATATGATGTGAAAATTCGCGGTCGTTATTCTTCAAATGCGTAGTAGGTAAATTTCAACTGAACATAGTAACTTATAAATTTGGCCTGACAAAGTAAATCATATTAGGTAAAATATGCATAGCAAACAAGATCCAAAGCCATTAGAGGGTTTAAATTCATGACTTTACGGTTACAATAGAGTATTGTTGTTAGTGGGCTACATTTATGTCTAATCTGTTTATATTGTCCGTCTATAGACTATATTTGAGGTGCTATCGGACCATACTGAATATGTAATGTTTATTCATCATGTGTTTGTTCGACTATATTTGAAGTGCGGTAATCACTACGGTGAATCATATATCGATTCATCTAACTAATCGATTCTGCATTATTACTACTAACTAGGTTTATTAACGTTCTCTAGCACAATAGGACATCATATCCATATGGTCGTAGCAAGTAGTAACACAAGGACTGACTCCAGATCTAAGAACCAAATATTACTACAGAATCAGTTTAACGTAAAGCATAATACCTGTAAGAGTAACTTCAGCTATCTAACTCGCAGAGACGCTTTTCTTCCCAAGCTGCTTTCCCATCGCCACCGTAGTGTTGCCGACCCGCTGCAACAACCACCACATTGTTCACAAGTATCAGCTGCGATTGACAAAAAAAGGAAAAGAAAACAACCGGAATTTGTCCAAGGGTAAGAAACAAACCGACCCTGAGGCACAAGTTCCTCTTGGTATCGCAAATGGGATAATCCTGCGGACAGCAATGGAGGTTGTCCTTACAGCAGACGGCAGATTCGGTCGCGCAACACTTCCATTCCATGCAGAGCAACCCGAGCAGCCACCACGAGCAGCAGCACGTCTCCCCAGGGGCGCAAAATGTGAAAATGCTGCACTGGGTTGGGCCAGGGGTGGGCGGGGGAGTCGGGGGGTTGGGGCTCGTTTTGATGGGGTACGACGCCATTGTATTGATGCCGCAGACTCCCTCCGCCTTGCCGGTGTTCCTCGCCATGTGCATGTATCCGTCAATGCCCCACTGTGTTCCCCACGAGTTTTTTAAGATCCAGTAATCGGTTCCGTCTTTCGAGTCGTAGCCTACGATCAGGACGGCGTGATCTAGAGCAGTCGAGCACGGCCCGGAAAATATGCCCTGCATTCGAACATTCATCGGTCAGTCTGTTGGTTGACTTCATAATATATATATATATAAACAAATAATAAGTATTCTTTTAAAGTTTAAACTTTTAGGTGATGAAAATCGAGATGTGTTATGTTTGAGTATATATATATATATAGTCGATGAATTAAGGTACGAGGTTTGGACAACCTACCCTGGAGTACAACTGGAATGCTGAGTCGCTGCCGCATATTCCGACGCTGACAGGCTGAGCTGCGGCGGCTTGCAGGAGCTTTTTCTCGTTCCAGAGAGGTAAATCGGTGTAGCCATCAATCGACACGATGCGCCTTTCGAGCTGCAATATCGACGAAAGAAACAGAAAAGGAACCATTGTTAGAAGGCGTTTGAAATAGAACTTAACGACTCGAATCTCTACCTTGTTTTTGACACATCGTCCATCGCGACCGCGGTAGGGATAATCCTTCTCGGAGTCGATCCCTTTATTCTTTAAGACGAACTGGAAAGCATAGTCCATGACCCCTCCCGCGCAGCCGTCGTTGTATGATGTATCGCAGTCTACTAGCTCTTGTTCGGACAGGCTGACGAGCGATCCCGTGACAATCTGGTTGATGCCTTCCATCGCACCCGTTGCTGAGAACGCCCAACACGCACCTTCAAGGTGTAAAATAGCACAGCGGATCAAAATTCAAATATGTCAAGATAATTTCTCGAGAAAAAGAAACCTACGGACAACCACTCCATCGACGAAAAACTTGCATCAGAAAACATCAGAGTAAACATTTAGATGCAATTCATACGATTCGAGTCTATACAGACGATAGATAGAATTCGATTCTAAGAAGCAAACAAGATCCTAAAAGTCTTGTTAGACTACAAATTGTTCGATTAGGGCTGTTATTTGAAAGCTCGGCTCATTAAGGCTCGAATTCAGCTAGTTAGTTTGTAGTAATCGCTCGGCTTCTTAAGTTAGACCTAACGAGATCCCTAAGAAGTCTTGTTCGACTATAAGTCGGAACAGTTTCCAGTTAGAGCTGTTATTTGAACTAAGCTCGAAAGCTTGGCTCATTAAAGATCGAATTCAGCTAGTTAGCTTGATGATATATATACAATGGATAATGTTCGAACTAAATTCTTAATGAGAACAATCTCAAGTTCGTTTATATGTAATTCGAAGAGCCTGAGTTTTACCCAATAAAAATTAGCATCAAATTTGAAAACAGATATTCAGGTGAGTTTGAAAATGGATAATCGACTAGACTACGCAGGAAGAACAGCCAATATGTAGTGAAGGAAATCAGTGAATCAATTAGATCAGGATTGAAGAACACAGGAAAGCAGATACAAATCAAACATCAGAATGAGAAACTGCAGGCAATTATCAGTCAAACAAGGAATAATTCAACCATTGAAATTTGAAAGCAGAATAATAACTCCAAAAGCTCATCAATGGAAGAAAAGCAAATTCAAGGAAGAAAATGAAGTAAAAACTGTGAAAAAAAAAAATCTCACCGCAACTACCCTGGTCCTTCACCTCGGTAACAGCTCCCTTTGACCTCCAATCGAGAGAAGATGGAATATCAGAATCCTTCACAACACTCAAATCCTCATCCGATTCACTGCGCAGTCTGATCACTGAATCCGTAGCAGGAACTGAAAGCCCCAAATACTTTGCCCTAAACTCATGGTTAGGGAGGTCAGCAAAGACGTTGAGACCGAGAGTGAAGGTCGAATCACCCTTCCCGTTGTGCGCAGTGACGATATTGTAATTCTCCTCGAATATCCTGAGCCTGCGCTCCCTTTCTTCCTCGGAAGAGTACGATTTCCCATGCTCTCTGCACCAGCTGTCGAAGAGATCGGAAATGGATGAAGATTTGCAGGCGGGAAGTTGAAGAAACAGCAGGATTATGAAAAGCGATAACAGCCACGAACAACCACCCATTTGATTTCTCTCTCTCTCGCTTTTTTTAAAAAAGATTATCCGATCCGTAGCTGTGGTTCCTGGAAATGTGGAGAGCCTATATATGGGCGAGGCGAGTAGCCATGGATGATCGAACACGTAAATGGTGTGGGATTGGTAAATGAGATAGCCAATTGAAAAGGGACTGGTGGAGCACGTTGTAAACGACCACTGTTGATCAGTTTTGGAGACTGGTGGTTCGGTTCCGTAGGCAGTTATTATGCGTTTGTTTATATTTCGAATTTATGATATTTTTCAAAGTGTGTGTTTATTTGTGAGATTTTTAATTTTTAATTTTTGATATTTTATTTTATTTTTTTAATATTAAATTAAATAATAATTTTTTATTTTCTATATTACAATAAAATTAAATTTTATATTCAAAATATTATATAAATACATATTTATATATATTTATATCATATCAAATAATTATTTCAACTCAAACTTAGATCAAAATTTTACAAGTAAACACACCCAAAGTGATTTTTAAAAAATACTTCATATGTCTCGTAACTAAGTATTTATTTATTATTTGCTATTTGAATATTAATTATTATATTTCCTTCGTCCCATTGAAAGGTTACCATTTTTTATTTCCGTCAGTTGTTATCATTTTTTAATTTAGTAATTGTACTACTTACTTAACATAATAAATACCCTTTCAACTTATAATATATTACACAAATGTCATTACTTTAATATTATACCATACTAATAGAGGTATTTTTGTATTTTTTATTACAATATAATATAATACTAATATTAAAAAATCTACGTGCGAAACAAACGTTACCCTTCTAACGGGACGAAAGGGAGTATCAAAATTTATTACAAATTAAAAAAATAATAAAAATATTTTTATTAATATCTTATAATACTAATATCATGAAATAATAATAATAAAAACATAATACTTTATTTAATGTTGAGTATAATATGCAAAAGAGAAATAGATTTTATTAAGGGACGAAGGACGTATATACTAGTGTGGTTGTTCATTTGTTTTTGGTGTATAGAATTTCAATGTTAATACTTCTTCTATTCTATCTATGTCTAGGTTATTGGACACAAAAACATTTTTCTAAAGATAAATATAATTAATAAATAATTAAAAATATATTAGTAATAATAATTATTTTATAATAAATAAATATACTCCTTTATTATTATTTTTATTATAAAATACAAAGAAAACATACTTATATTATAATTGGTGTTAAAAATGTATAATCTAATTTTTAGATAGCAGAGAGACTATAAAGAATTAATAGTGAACTTATTTATAAAAGAAATAAAAATAGTAAAATTATATTATAATAATAATAATAATAATAATAATAATAATAATAATAATAAACTGTTTTTTAGTTCCGTAAGTGGACTCCTATTATTTTAGTTGTCTAAGTGGAGTCTGTCGCAAATTAATTTTATAAATGAAAATTTTTCGCTATTTTAGTCTTCCGGCGCCAGAGACGCCCGGTTGGCTTACCGGAGGCCACGTGTCCGCCAGGTCAGCGACACCTGGCGGACACGTGGATTTTATTTTTATTTTAATTTATTTTTAATTTTATTTGTTTTTTTATAATATTTTTATTTGATCCAATTAAAAAAATTAAAAAATAAAATAAAGTACACGTGTCCGCCATGTGTCATTGACCTGGCGGACACGTAGCTTTCGACGAGCCACGCGGGCATCTCCGGCGCCGGAGGACTTAAACAACGAAAATTTTTCACTTATGAAACTAATTTGCGACGTACTCCACTTACTAAACTAAAATAATAAGGGATCAGTTACGAGATTAAAAAAACAATTTACCGTAATAATAATAAAGAAAAACATAATGAACCTGTTACCGCTGGAAGCCTTTTTAGAAGTTTTTATCGTTAAAAAATGATTTGTGTTGTAATCGTATTTTCAAGGGTGATGACCGAAAACACAAATATTATTATTATTATTATTATTATTATTATTTTCAAGCCTTTTTAGTTATTGTCTCCTCCTGTGCTAATCATCTCGATCCTTCACTTTCATCTGCTACTGCCTCACTCAACCTCTCTATGCTATGCTTGTTTTCTTCTGCTCTTTATATGCTTTTCTGCTACCATTGTCAAACTGCACTTTCCAAAATTCTCATCACAAATATTTTAATTTTTAAGTTTAAGTTTTGAATAATAAAAAATTGAATTTGAATAATTATTTAACGTGATAAAAATAAAAATTGTGATATTTTAAATATAAAATAAATTCTCATCACTTGTTTACTAAATGTATAACTACCCTTACTCTTTCATTATTATTACACAATTGTCACTCTCTTTTACACAGTAATACACTCAAGACAAAAATATCTTTTACCTAAATAATAAAAATCTATCATAAAACAAAAAAAAAAAAACACAAACGCCCAAAAAATGGCGTTGTTTTTTTTTTTTTTATTTGTTTATTTATAAAATTTTTAAATTTTTTATTTTAACTTTTAACTTTATTTTTTATTTTTCTAAATTTTTTAAAAATCATTTTAAATTAAAAAATAAAAAATTGTTTAGAATTATATAAAAAATTGAATATTTGAAAAATAAAATATTTCAACAAAGCCTTCACACGAACGACATAAAGTCAAGAGCTGTATAAAACTAACTATGCATTACACTGCAAAAACACTACGGCAATATACACTCCAAATCAAAATCTAACACCAAATTTTATTCACTACACATCTAATCATATACGAACCAAATGTATCTATGTATATCTGTGTATATATATATATATATATCTATGTATGATGAACTCAAGAAAAAAGTTTCTCTATACATTACCTTACCTGTGCCGGCGAACACACTAATCCCGATGCATCCGATCCGACAACCGCCAGATCGCAGACGGCGCAGAGCTGGCCATGTCGATCCGGGACAAAACGTGCGGTGCAGTACGGGCACGCGAAGTCCTTCTGCCCTCGGTAAATCGGGACATACGTCGCCCCACACACGACAAAAGGATTTCTAAAGTCGTAGTTCAGCTCTGTCGCGTCCGTCATATTCCTCTCGGCCGCCTGCAGAACCTGGCGAGCCGTTTTCGCCTGGTTCTCGTTGCTCGGATTCGCCTCGAGAAGTCGCCGCGCAAAATTGGCGGCAGTGCTCAGATTCTTCGCCTTGAAGCAAACCGTCATCGCGTTCTGCAACGCGAGTCTTACGTGCGGGAGCTGGAGGTTGCAGTGGGTGAAATACGCAGCGAGTTCCTGCTGTCGGGCCGGGTCATTTTTCAGTTCCCGTCGTTTCAGCTCCATCTTCAACCCGAGAACGTATTCTTTCGCGACGATGATCAGCTCCTTGACTTCGTCGACTTCCCGTCGCGTTTCGACCACGACGAGCGGAACCGTGTGAAGAATCGACATGAAATGTCGAAGTGCGTCCGAAAATTTTCCGGCAGTCGTAGCCTTGTATCCAGCCTTGAGTTTCTCTTCCAGCTGCGAGAAATTGTAGACGAGAGCCGGCGGGCGTCGAACATTCGGACTTTCCGATTCACTCCAACCCCGCTCGACTGCGAGTGAAATCACCGGCGCTGAAGCAAACGCGCGCAAGAAACTGTGGCTGCCCAAGTGAACATCGACAAATAGCGGTTTCAACAGGGCAAAATTGCGTATCCCCAGCTGACGGCTCAATAATCGCATAGCGGTATCGAAGTTTCCGGCAGCCGCGTGGTCGGCAGCAAGCGATGATTTCTGGACCCATATCTGGCTTACAGGCATACCCGTCGTAGGGGTAACGAATACGGACGGTCCTTTAGACGCCCTCGGGGTTTCTGCGTCGGGAGGCAGATCCAGGTCCTCGAGATCCCATCCGCCTTCCTCGTCATTCGCCTCGGGCGTATCTTTATCGAGCACGACGGTAATATCACCATTCTGCAAGTTGTCTGCCTCGCCGATGTCCAAAGACTCGCCCCAATCAGCACTAGCCTCTTCATAGTACTCGTCTTCTTCCTTGCCAGTATCGTCCAGGCCGCCCTCGAAGATGCCTTTACTGACCATCAACAAAGGCCAATCTCCAGCAGACAGTACTGGAGGAGGTGGTATTAAAAGAGAAGCTTTCTTTCCTTCTGGAAGATTCGGAACATTTTCCCCTAATTCGGAAGCTAAACGCTCGGCTATATCACGGAAACCGTGGACAGCAGCCGTAACATAAGCCAGGGGCAAGTGGCCGACGTTCTCCAGAATCTGAACTCGCTCCTGCACGTCGCCGAGATACAATGCGTCGTGAAACTGGCCCATAATATCATTTTTCACTTCAGCAATTTTCATCATTTTCGATAACTTGTCGAGCTTACCAGTTATTAAATAATGAAAAGATAGCCTCTCGAAGTTCTTCGTTTTCTGGTATGCATACTCAACAATCCCGGCATTTCCCTGCCGAAGAGCCTCCACGCCCAATCTGTACCAGTAATCTTTCTCGTCAATCTTTTTAGCAGCTTCGAGAGCCTTCTCGATGTTACCGCTTTCAAGGGCTAGGTTGAAGTGAGTTCTTTCATCCTTTACAAAGTAAAGTGCCACCTGCGGAAAGCCCTTCTGCTGAAGATAAGAGATCATTGCTTGCCCGCACAGTTCGGAATTTTTTATCATCCCCATAACTTGATCGTATCTCTTTCTCAATAAGGAAAGCTTAAATATATATTCAGTTGAGTTGACGATCATAGGGCAGTTCTTCCCATCTCTGTCCAAGGAAAAGATCGTGTTCCCATATATTTTCGATAAATATAGTGGAGCATCGAGCGTCTTGATGATTCCACAATCGCCATTAGGAAGGCAGTACTTAATGTGAGTCAGTGTAGTGTAGATAAAAACACCATTATCATCCCAAGCTCCACTTTTGACTCGAATTGTCTCATGAAGTGTGCAACGGTGCACAAGCTTTTTATCAGCAATAACAATTGAGTGCTTGCTCAGTAAAGCAACAGACTCCATATCATGAGACCAAACGACGTACCTAACAAAAGGCGTCTGGAGATCCCCAAGAATAATCCTTTGTTGGAGATCGAAGATGACAACCTTGTCCTCGGACCTGCAAAGCAGATTTCCCGTACCCGCATAGAACACAGCATCTGTAGCAATAGGCAAAACACTCTTTTTCACAATTTCATTTTTCAGGTTCTTGACCAGAATCTGGTTGCTTGTCTTCTCGAGCACAGCAAACCTATTTCGAGCCACAAAAACTGCCGACCCCCCAACACCTCTTTTTGCATCCTGTGCTACATCGGATCTCCCATACCCATCCTTTGGGATGACATAGAGCTCGTATGAACCCCCATCCACATCAGAACAAATTAAAACAGCTTTCTCAGAAGGGCTATAAGATAGAGTTCGAGGTCCTTGATTCAAGCCACTCGAACCTGGACGACGGATCTGTATCAGCTGGGTATCTTTCTGAGTTGAATACTCAAAGGAGCGTATAAAACGGTCCTTAACATAGATGACTGAATCACCACTGAGAGAAAAAGCAGGACGTTCTCTCTCCAGCTTAAAAACAATCATGCCGCTGTCATGGCCGGCAGCCAAAAGATTTATCTCTGGATGGGCTACAAGATTCCAGAACCTGTCATGCTCCCTTCGGAAGGTCTGCAAGCCTGTTCTTTTAGTTGCATCCCAAACTCTAATACTCTTGTCTTCAGAATTTGATACAATTATGTCCTGCCTTGAATGGAACAGAACACAAGAAACATTGTTCGTATGCCCCCTCAATGTGTCCACTTCCCAGGCCTTTGTATCTGAGACGAAAATGTAATCGGATATGAATAATGATGAGAATCAGAACGCCAAAACTTAAACATAATTTGAAGAAAATATGCAAGCAGAGTACAATAATGCCGAGAAAATTTCAAGAGACGAATACAACATAGATTTCCAATCTCTCATCATAAAAAGTAAACATAACAAAAATGAATGCATACTTAATATACAATATTCTTGCAAGCCACTATGAATCTTCTAACCGTATATGATATAGCCATGTAAAATGCTAATGTATTAGTCGTCAAGATGGCATACCATTCATGCGCCATATTTTCACTTGCCGATCATCTGCGCCAGAAACAATCAGAGGTAGAGTTGGGTGGAAAGAAGCCCAATTAACCCCTCGATCATGACCCTCCAAAACATATTTCACAACAGCATCTATCCCACCAAAGAGATCGGTATTCATTTGGGGCAATCTCAGAATATCATCTGTAGGGGATACAGTTTTCTTTCTCAAGGCACCAATATCCCAAACACGAACAGTCTGATCCAAAGAGGCTGAAACAACCAAATCTTCTTTGGGGTGAAATGAGGCACACATGACATAGTGATTGTGGCCGGTTAAGACAGAGATGCAAGTTCTTGATTGCCAATTCCATATTCTAATTGTCTGGTCATCACTGGCACTTACTATCCAGGGATACTCATGATGAAATTGAACAGTTCGGATATAATCAAGATGGCCAAGAAGCGTGAATAGGCATCGGTGCAATTTATAATTCCATACCTTGATTTTGTAATCATCACCTAGATCAACCAAAAATTGACATTTATTAGAATATGATTCGATATCAATTAAAAAATAATAATAATATATATAAAAAAACCCAGCTCAATCATAAAGCAATTCAACAGATCAGTGCCTTCAATAACATTAGTGAACAACTAATCTCCAGAGCTTCTTTTGAAGTATGATGTTATATATTTAATATATATACATACACATTCTTTTGAATAAGCTATATAGCATGCCCCACGGAACAATTACATTTTATCAATGCTCATTAGACATTAACATCATGAAAGTCTTAAATGGATACAGTATCTAAACCTAAAACAAACAGATATATGCCTTCCATTAATAAATCAAATTTACCAACCGGCAGTAGTCAATTAACAAAGGAAAACCCAAGATACCAACCACTAGTTTAACATTTACAACACTCGGTTGTATGATCACTAATTCATCAAGTACAGTGCTTTATAGCCATGGCTAAAGATCCCTACCTTATGAAGTTAATCAAATACTGAACATTTATGAATTGAAGAATACAACCTTAACAAAGGACTAAGTCCTAGACCACCCCCCACTACTCTACAAATACAATCCTCCAAGCATCATATTTCAACCAAGCTTTGCTTTGATTCAATCATACCAAAATTTCAAAACAGAAAATAAATAAATAAAAAATCTAACTATGCATCGAGGCTGCAGTGTAAACTTATATACAACTCTGAGTCTACCAAGTGTAGTCACCAAATCAAATTTCCATAAACCGAAGTATATCTAACTTATGTATTCCAACATTATATGATAAAACACCAGAAATAAACAAAACAACCAGCAGATCCAAAACCTAAAACAACATAGCCTCCCCAAACACGTAATCGCAAAAAACTCGGGCAAAAACCAATAATTGAAATCTCGAACTCAAACCTCCGGAAACGAAAAGTGGCTGCGACTTATGAAAATGGACGCCCCGAACAGGTCCATCGTGCTCATCGAATCGATCAATGAGAGTGCCCATTCGGTAGTCCCATAGCTGGATGACGCCGCTGTGAAGACTCGCCAAGATCCATGGCCTCTTGCTGTGGAAGCTCAAACCTTTCACTCTATTGCTCTTCGTCTCAAATTTCGTCAACATTTCTGAAACTAATCCCTTCGCTCACTCCAACAAAGGAGAATTCAGAGGTATTCGAATCCAGCTTTGTGAAAACGAATTCGAAACCCCAATCGAGACTCGAGATCCAAACCCTATCGTAGATCCGTCAAGGGAAATTGGGGATTTTTGTAGCAACGGTGACTGTGTAGTTGGAAGATAGATGGTACAGGAATTTAAGTAAGCGCGTTATCTACAATCGCTTGAAAGCGCGTCGTCTTCATACTGAGAGATTTATATATGTATCCTAAAAATATTACGTCAAAAAACATATATATCTTCATTTTGCAATATTGGGCTTAGGCCCAATAAAAAGCCCCAAAACCCTAATTTGGGTAAAATCCACGTACCAAACTCACATATTATAGATCAGTACCAAATACATAACCCAAACCCTTTTCTTTTTTTAATTCGGAATTAATAAAAAATATAAAATTAAAGCAAACCCTAATATGATAGAGCACTCGGTACCAAATCGGTTCCATATATAGTTACTATATATATAGTCAGAGATGCATAAGGCGATTGGCGATCAAACCGTCGAGTGATAGAGAAGTGGTTGAGTGATGGACGACGCCTTAATGTGAGCGGCGGCGGCAGCGGAGGAAGCGGTAGCATCGCCTCCTTGCTCGGCGGCGGAGCGTTGAATGGTGTCCAATTTGTGGCCCCAAAGGACGAGGTACAATCCGATTATGACGAGAACAGCGCCAATGATCCTGTGCAGTGCAATACAATCGACGATTGAAGTTAGCAGGTGATGTTCTATTCTAGTTCGAAATTGAATAGCTTCGATTATGGTAGAATTAGGTATTAGCTAGAACAATAATTAATTAGGTATTGGTAATTGGTAATTTGATGAGTGAGTATGGCTATGAATTAGAAAATTGATTACCCGCCCAAGTAGAACTGTTCCTGGAGGAGGAAAGATGAGAGAATGGCGACGAGGAGAGTTTGAACAGGCTGGTAGACGGCGACGAAGACAGGGCCTCCCCTGTCAATGCACCATATCTGCACCGCGAAAGCAATCCCCGACGCCACCACTCCCTGCACATTAGAATTCATTATATATATATATATATAGAGAGAGAGAGAGAGAGAGAGAGAGAGTACAGCGTAGAAGACACTGAAGAGCTCGGTGCGTGTGCGGACGAGCCAAGCCTGCGGCGTCCTCTCGAGGAAGGCGGCGATGGCGAGGAACTGAATGATGCCGAAGAAGCACTGGTAGGAAGTGAAGGAGAGGCGAGCGGGGTACTTCTTAACGACGGGCGCCTGAAGGACGAGCCAGCCCGACCAAGAGAGGCAGTGTCCGATCAGGTACAAGCACCCCAATGTCCAGTTCTTATTTCTATCTGAAGAATTAGATCCCTCATCATCGCCCAATCGGAGGATGGCCGCCGCTGCCGTCGATCCAGTAATTGTGGTGGAGGAGGAGGACGGGCTGTAGATGGTGGGGCCTTTGTAGAGGGTGATGACCGTGGCGCCGGCCACGCAGAACACTGTTCCGACTACCTTCGAGATCCCGTCCTTGCGGTCCAGCCGCACTTGCTCTATTCTACACGTGCATTGCATGTTGAAATTATAATTAGTTAATTAATTAATTAATTAACAGTTATGGTGCTGAATTGGAAAAATCAGATCAAATCAACATCGGTAATATATAGAAATAACACAAAGACTTATTATATACAACGCATGCTGTGTATAATAATGACAAATGATGTTGCCTCATACTTGTATAACAGTATGTGGTGTATTGAAATCAATTAGTATTCGTGTGTTATAAGACTATAACATGTGTTGTATTTGTGTTGTGCTCTGTTCAGCACCATGCTAATTAGGTGAGTCAGCTCATTATAATAATCAACCTATTGTAATATACTTTTTCCGTCCGCTCTTAAGAGTTATATTTACTTTTTGCGTAATTGTAGTTAACATTAAAAATATTCTTATACTTGTATACTATTTTGCACAAATGTCCTTCTATTAGTATTACAAGATAACTAAGACGTCCAATTACAAAGTAACCATTTCATTAAATACCCCATTTTTTCTACAAATACTCCTACTTTACATCACATCATTACTTTTATACCAAAAAAGTAAGGACAAAAATGTCATTTTACTATTTTTACCTACTCACTATAATTAAATTACTATTATTCCTTAATCTCCGTGCCAAAAATAATCGTATACTTTTAGCTTGGACGGAGGGAGTAATTAATATTTAAAAATCAATACGTAAAAATTAAATGAGACTCTTTGAAGTTGAATGAAGATAAAAGAAGATTACATAACGATACAATATACTCTTTCTTAAATTATTTGACTGCCAATTAAAATAAATTAGTATTTTACATATTAAAATGACAAAAATGAGAAATTTAGCATTAAAATAAGAGAGTATAAAATATATTTATTTATTATAAATACAAATTGTGTACTATTTGCTTATTTGTATAGTTATATTTGAGATGCTATCAATACTATTTTGAATGTATTATTGTATATATAAACATATTCTTGTAGACTAATGGTATACAGATATGTATGTATCGTATATATATATGTGCAGTGAAGCTAGCGGTGATCAAGGTCCCGGACCGACTGACCTGAGCAAGGCTGCCATGAGGAATGTGATAGCAGGAACTGAATTCTGAATTGCAGAAGCGAAGGTTGGAGAAGTGTGGTCCAGGCCCAACAAGTAAAACCCTTGATTTGCTGTAATCCTGTAACATATATAATGATCATGATTCATGGGGGAAGTCCCGGGACTTCCCAAGAAAACGAATGAATAATATCTGGATCATGATTATTATATATACCCAACAATTGCAAGGAGAAAAAACTGGATGATGAAACTCCATGTAAGAGGTGGTCGCTCTTTCCTGCAGTAAATTATAATTATGTAACAGCCAAATTAATCATTACTGTTTGCATATATATATATATAAATATATATGTGTGTTAATTTGGATTTATCTTTTAATTAGATTAAATTATTTCATATAGGAGTACAATTAAGCATATAAATTTCTACTCTCCTAGTCCCAGTTGAATAGAAAGGAATTTTTATTATTATTATTTTTTTTAATTTCACTAAAAAAATATTTATTTTTATTTTAATCAAAATAATTATACATTAATTTTATAGAAATTACAAATGTACCATATGGTAAAAATACAAGAACAAAAATATTAAAAATCATCTTACACACTTCTACCCCTCTTGAATCAAATCAGGACAGAGGAAAGAGTGTCAGTATTACAACATATTCAATAATATAGAAGGATGTATAAATTTATAATTTAGTAAGAATTTTATTGTTGAACAACTTTACTTTGTTTACATAGTACACTTTTATTCATTTGGTACTGTTTATTTTTTTAAAAAAAAATTATATCAAATATTTTTTTTTTCTCATAAAACATCAAATCAAATATTAATTTTTTACTTTTTTTTTTTTTCAAATTTCCAAAAACCTCCAAAAACTTCTATCTAAACAAACCTTAAGCATATTTCTATTATCCAAAGACACATAAATGTATAGTTAAATAAAACCATTTATGAATACAACATATTAGGGTCAACAACTCATATTAAATACTATTTTCTTTTATATATATATTTATAAAATTTTCTACGCCTTCATAATTCCGAAACCATCTGTCTAAATATTACATTGATCAATATAACATCAACGACGATAGATTTTATGTTGATCTGACCAAGTCATCATTGTACTGATTTGATCAGGTCAGCCTATGCTATATGGGTGACTAAAATATATTTATACATATCTCGGCATATATTGTATTATAAGATAACATATATTGAATCATAATATAATATATGATATATTATAAATATACTAAAATATGTATAAATGCATCTGAGTCACCTTTATAGCATATGCTGATCCATGTCCAACATCAACCATAGACATACCTATATATATATGTATGCATGTATTTATGTAACTTGTAAAATAAAGAACACAAAAAATGCATATTGAAAAGGGTGTGTGAATTAGGGTAGGGGGGGGGGGGGGAGGGGGTAGTTCATATATAAAAATATGTATGTATACATACTTCTCCATGAAATAGGCAAAGGGCAGAAGGAGAATAAGGGCAAGAATGTTCCTATAAACAGGGAACACAATCTTGCTGATGCCCATATTAAGGGCAGTTCTCGACACCACATGGAACCCTGCATACCCAAACTGCAACCCTACCATAGACAAATGCAGTTGAAACCTCTCCGGAATCATCGAACACCCTCTTCTAATCTTCGTATATGACGACAACGACGACGAAGAATCTGCCATAATTACTGTATTTATAAGCTAAATATGTATATATAGATCAATGTGATGACTGACTAGTACAAGTTATTTGTAAGAAGGATTGTTGTAAGAAGTATTGATGAGTTGTGATCATCTTGAATTGGGAATGGTGTTTATATATATATATATATGTATATATGTATGTATATGTAAAGAGATTGGGTGGGTTGTACATGTGCATTTTGTGATCCCACAAGAGGGCCATGAATGAAAATGCATGCCCATATTGTAGTGTCTCCTACATTCTTCTTGGGTATACACAACTAGATGTGTTGTCAGTTCATATATATATATATATACACACACACACACACGAGCGCGTGATACTTGAAATCTCATATGGTAGTTATGGCCTTATGGGTCGAGCCCGACAAGTTCCAAACACCCCTTTTGGTGAATGATATTTGAAGCAAATAGATATCTATAACAAACTTTGAAACCTCTATTACATTAAGTACACCGATCGACCAAAAAAAAAGTACATCGATTTAAACTAAGAAATCAAATGATTAATGTAAATTAATAACCTCTTATCTATATATATATGCCAAACAAAATGGTTAACAAGTGACAAATATTACATATAGAGATGATATCAACAAGTAAAGTAGATATAGATATACTATAAGGAACAATTAGATATGAAATTAATTCATGTGAAAACTTAATAAAATTTACTAGAATTAGTGAAGAACAGAAAATGTTAAAGAAAAAAAGGTTTTTCTAATTCTAAATAAGATCAAGCTTATAAATATATTTTTGTTACGAAATATTTTTATATATATTATAAGGAAATGGATCAGGTGCTGAATTAAATCAACTCATCAACACATTTGCTGAATTTCTTCATTTGGCACATGATCCACCATATTACATTATAATTATATACGAAATTTATTCAAGAGATTTATTTGTAAACGGAACTTATTCAAGATATTTGTAAGATTTTACTTATATATATAATTTCTTATAAATGAAATTGATAATTCATATTCTGACTATCCCAAAATAGTTAGATATTATATTATAAATAGCCATATGATCTACAAAGAAAGTTCGAAGAAGGAGAAATAAAGATATGTGATGCTTAATCTATAACTACCTTTTTCTTTGCTCTAAACCTCTCAAATAATTTTCATTACATTTTAACTTCGAAAAATGTTTAAATGAATAATATTGCGCTATATTTTTTACACTAAATTTGAAATGACTCCAATATTTCGAGCAAAATGTAAAGATAACGGTTAGATTTGTCCTTAAGAAAAAAAATTGATCCTCTCAAAAACTCAAATCCTAGTTGGTGATGGCAAGCGATACTTCTTAAGCGATATCTTCAAAAGGAAAATGTTCATGCATCTTGGGATATTCGACTCCAACACAAGATAGGCGCGTGCGTGCACAACAAGATGGGGTTTTCTAGTTTGGTAGCGAGGCATTGTCAAGACGAGACAAGATAATACGCACGAGGGGATGGTCCTAGCTAGACCCTCCCCCACCGATCGATATGTATATATGTATTTGAGGTCCTATTGAATTCAAAACCCTACCATACTTAGCTCAACTTCCATTATTTATAATGTCTCTACTTTCTTGTCCAAAGAGTGAAGAAAGTGGTCGGACAACATCCTGACCGATCGATCCATCTATCTTAATAATATGGGTGCGAATCAGGTTGTTGGCTTAATCAAATCAGTATGGTGCTGATTTAATAAGATCAACCGATCATATAAGAGTAATCAATATATATTTTGTATAAGATATCATATGCTGAGTTACAACATAATATATAATGTATTATGAATATGCTATGATAGTATATAATATATGTTGAATACGTTTATGTGATATGCTGACTCAATCAAATCAACACCATGTTGGTTTGATTGAGTCAGTACCGAATCCGCAGTGTAATTATATATATATATACTTAATTAATACAAACATATTATATACTCCTTCCGTCCCATTGAAAATTGTCATTTTTCATTTTTGTCTGTCCCAAAATAAAGTTATCATTTCTTAATTTAGTAATTGTACTACCTACCTAACATAATAAATACCCTTCTACCTTACACTATATTACACAAATATCATTACTTTAATATTACACAATACTAATAAGGACATTTTTGTCTTTTTTACTACAACTCATTATAATACTAATATTAAAAAATTTACATGCAAAAAGTAAACGGTACCGGGACGGAGGAAGTATATGTATATATCATATATATATATATATCTTTGACAGCTAGGTCTATATATATATATATGTGTGGATTTTGTATGCACCACAAAAAATCTTGTGGCAAGGGAGAGGGAGACACATTAATTGCTTTCTCACTCTATGGTCAATCTCACTCATCAGCTTCGATATGTATATATATCTCTGTGTGTGTGTTTTTATTTTAATTTGTATATAAGTGATCATATTTATATATCAAATCTTATCGTGTATGGTAGGAGGCATGCTCTGTGCTAACATGTTTGTTATAATTTGGTATAGATTCATATATATATCGCATGCAATTAATATTATTTGACTCAGATATATACAAAATCAATTGTTGGAATGATTTTACAAGTAAATTAAATAAAAGAATTATATATATGTTAATATATATTTAAAAGATTTTTCAAAGTTGTTCAATTGTTTGTATATACGGATATGTGTGCTTGAGTAAATATTTTATATTCATGTCGATAATATAGTTATAATATATACTGTAGACACTAAAAATATATGTCTAAAATCAATTAAATATCATGTATTTTGGAAGAAAATAAAGTTCCAATAAAATAAATATATGGTATTTAATTATACACATATGTTAATTTTTGTACAATAAATATCAACCATTAATGCAAAAATCTGTTTAAAATGGAAGATATCGTACAAATATTACGTGCATAAATAGAGCCATAATAAATTTGGCAGCAAAATAAATTAATCTTGTCAATAAAAGAAGTATATAAATTAATATCTTTCGAAAAAGGGCAATGATATAAAGATATTGGCGAGAAAGGAAGATAGACAATCAAATCCGTCAAGAATGAAAAAGAGCATCCGATATGAAAAAGGAAAGATTATAAAATCTTCCTATTGGTCAATCAAAACGCGCCACGTGACACCGTTAAAAAGGAAGCCGAAGCCACCCATCCCTATAAATAGGAGCCATGGTCAGTTCATTTGAGACACCGAAGTTGCATCGAGGATTCAAGCAAAAGGGTAAGTCTCTAAACTCTCTCTGTATGTGATATATGCGATATTAGATAAATATTTTGCTATATTTTAGACGGTTTTTTAATGCGAATTTTGTATATATATACTCATAATTGTGTGTTTTTGAACTTTCTACTAGGCGTTGAAGAGTTGCCAAATTTTGGGCAAATTGGAGAGAAAAGCAGAACGCAGAAAGTCCTTAGGTGTGATCACGAAGTAGGAAGAATGAAAATTGCAAAAAGGTCCTCCAGGGTTCCTCCGGGGTTAATTAGCAATTTTAGAATTGTTTGGTTTAAAGTGCAAAAGGGATCTAAAGTGATTAATTGAAAAGGTGAGTTAGGGCCAATAAAGAAGGGGAAGAAGAAATGCAAAACCACGATCTCACTTACAACCAATTTCTAAAAGAGAAGAGAAGCGAAGGAAGAATACTACGTACGGGAATTTTGGAGAGCAACGCAGAAGAACTTCCGGACACCTTTTTCTTTATTTCTAGAATTGGTTTGTTGTCGATTTTTAAACTTGAAGGCATGAGAACTCTTTGATTTATTTTATATTTTTAATTGCTATGGATTGCGAGTAGTTTCATTTCTAGTGTATGTATGAATTGATGTTTGGGATTGAAATTGTGAGACTTGATTTCGATTAAAATTGGCGTTCATCGATGTTGGGTATTTTTAATTATTCTAATTGATGAGTTTAGAAATCTTGAATTGATTATTGCGCACGTATCAATTTAGTATTTCATAGCTATATTTGGGATTGACATATGTAATTGTGTAATTTTCCAATTGGCGTAGCAACCTAGAGAAAAACACTCTAGGGAAGAATTAAAATAAGTTTTTAAAAAATTATCGTAGGAGCTTGTTAAATTGAATTGGACCTTTCTAGTTTTTTATTGCTGTTGAGTTAGAAAACTACGGTCGTATCTAGGATTCTTTCGCGATTAGAGAAATAGCTAACGGTCGTACCTTAGCTATCGAAAAAGTAAGGAAAGGTTGATTGTGAACGCGTGTAGATCAACTATAACCAATTTATCCAACTAGTCGATGAATTTGACTTTTAGTCGATGATCAAATTTCATATCCCGAATGAAAAATTCATGTCTATGCTAGGGTTTAATCATATTTGATAAACCGCTAATTTTGCATTCTAGTTAACTTGCGTTTATTAAGTAAATTTTATTCTTCTTTATTGTGATAATCAAATCCCCCAAATATATATTAATATAATTATAATCAATCAAACATAGAAAGAATTACTGTTTTCCTGCGGAGACGACCCTACTCACTACTGCTATACTGGGACGTAGGAATTGATATTTTATTTTGCAGTTGTGAGATAGGCTAGCAGTATTGGTCTTCATGTTCTTCGTGTTCTTCGAAGCGTTCTTCGTCGAAAGTCACTGATTTGGACAAATGATCCAATATTGGTTGAGGAATCGATGAAGTTAACGTTCTTCGTCGTATGTCCAAGCCGGAGGAAGGATCAAAGCTCTCAAAGCCGTTGAGGAATTCGTCAAAGCCAAGGGAAGGTCTCCCAAGTTCCTCTTAAAGCTTCAAGATGTTCATCGCGTTCTTCAACAAAACATCAACTAAGCCCTCTTCGATCCAAAAGTCAAAGGGACATGCCACCAAAAGCGTTATGGAGCACAAAATCCACCTCTTCAAGGATCAAAGCTCCAAAAGCCATTGAAGAGTCCATCAAAGCCAATGAAGAGCATCCAAAGTTCATCACAAAGCTTCGAGGTATTCATCGCGTTCTTCACCAAAGCAACAACTCGGCCTTCTTCGATCCAAAAGTCAAAGGGACACGCCGTCAAAAGCGTTATGGAACACCAAATCCACCTCCTCAAAGATCAAAGCTGCGGATCGTTCAAAGAAGACATCAAATCCAAAGCCGACAATCAAACAGCCCACACGGAGACCAAAGCTCTTCAAAAGGCGGCAAAACCAAACCAAAGATCAAAGCCGCGGATCGTCCAAAGAAGACATCAAATCCAAAGCC